TGTAAATTTTATTGTACCATGGATGTATGGAGCACATATTACGGCTTTGGGGGGACATAGCAGCTATAGGAACATCTTAACTGATGTTGGGCTTGTTTGGTCCGCATTTCTGCTCTTTGCCCTCTATGACTGCACAAAAGTTATACCGTAATTATTAAAATTAGTCACCGAAACATCGAAGAAGCTCCAATGAGCAAATCAATAAAAAACTCGTTTTGAATCTACGTGGAACTACACAAAACTGTGAATTTCCATATGCAGTCTTGTTCTAGAATATTTACAAATACCAGTTAAACAGCGAAAAAAAAACATTAATAAAAAATAATAAATTAATAAAAAAAAAACGGTGATGGTGCCAATCAAAATAAATGCGGCTGCTGCTGCTGCCGTTGGATGTATCGTATAAGCAGATACTTTGTGTATCTGATTTATGGATCGACTGTCAAAATACTGCTGAGTCGTTGTGACTCTGTTCAACTCGTTCCAGAAGTATTCCATTTTGACGTGTAAATTCAAATGTTACTCCCGGACACACAACAAATCGAACAACATGAAACGATTAACAATGAAATGCTTTTGTTTAGAATGGCGGGGTGTGGTGTGGGTGGTATGAGGTGGGGTATGTGTGTCGCCTGGTCATGCTCTGAATTGTTTATTAATTTCCGATATGTTTGTTATGTTTTCGATAAGACTTCATTATTAAATTATGCGCTGCTGCCAGTGTGTGGGAACAGAAACGTCTGTTTTACACGGCATGTCAGAACTATGACTTCCTAATTAACAAAAATTATGACATGATATGATCGCATAAATTTCCAATCAGGAAGATAGTTACATAGAATATCAATTTATTTTTCCAAATGCTGGATGCCTTGTATGACCTTTTTCACTATCAATGGAGCAGGTGTCGAGTATATTAATCAAACGTTCTCAATGTTTGAGCTTAACGTATTACCTGTCCATATTTTAATATTAATTAATTTCCTTCAAATTTGAAGGAATTACTTTTTCTGCTGTAACAAATATCATTGCTATAGAGAGCATATTATGATCTTGAGAAGGTTTAAGTATCAAATCGGATTTAATATGTATAAATGGGAGCCAGAACTATATCTGAATCAATTTGGTCTAAAATTAATAGATTTTATATCAGACGGAACTTGATCGTATGATCCAATATTCAAGATTATTAGACAAAGGTAACATGATTGGTATCTAATTATGAGCCGATCTCGACAAAATTGGGCAAGGATATTTCTGTACCTGATATCTTACACCGAATATCACTATGGGGGCTATACAAAGACGTAGACCTGCATAGACACTTCAAATGCGAAATCTGAAACAATTCCGGTTAACCTGCCTACTGGCAAAATACACACATGTGGAAAATGTTAGCCACCTATCTCAGTTCGTTCGAAAGATACCATGATTACAACAGACAGACGCACATCGTTATATCGAATTTTACGCAGATCAAGAATATATATACTTTGTTGAGTCTGACATGAGCATTTCGAGAAATTGCAAACGGAATGACTTTTTTATTACCAAAATATCATCGAAATAACGGTTTTAAACCCTAGATTTCTTTGGACCAAAAGCGTTTCAGGACATTTGGAGTCGATCTAGAGATGTCCGTCCGTCTGTCTGTCTGGGGCGCATAATAACTCCCGAAGGGAGTATCCGACTTGGTTCAAACTGTGAATATCGTAATATTATTGCCAAACGTAGATCGAGTTCGCAGATGGGCAATATCGGTCCACTCCTTCTGGTACCTCCCCCACAAAATGTCGACATTTTCAAAGAAAATAATTTACTGCACAGAAAGAAAAAGGACAAACCGATATTTTCTCCATCTTTGGAAATCTTAATATTTGCATCAGTGCTGGGTCAGGTGCGAAAATGGACATTATCGGTCTACTCCACGAAGTATTTCCCCCACAAAGGGTGACAATTTTGAATAGTTATAACACTTATAAAATAAGGTGTAAGGGTCTGATTGTCTTGAAATTACACACATCACAATATTGTTATTGACCCAAGGTCTGGTGTGAAGATGATTGGTCCACTTCTTCTGGTACCTCCCCAACAAAAATATTGAATATCCATGAAGCTCATAAAACTCGAAATGAACATCCGATTCCATTCAGACTTGGTACCTCTCAATATTTCCATCTACACAAGATCTGTTAATCAGAAGGTAGAGATCGGACCATTACTTCTGATACCTCCCCCATATAGGGTTCAAGACTTTGAAAAACAAAACGTTCAAAGAAAGCGTCCAACTCTCTTCAAATGAAATATATACTTTTGATGTCTCACACAAAAAGGGTCACAATTTTCAATACTTTTATCTGTCGTTACTTGCGAAACAAGTCAGCTATTCTTCACAACTTGCTGTATCTAAATATTTCTCTCAAGCAGAAACCTGAGATGATATAAATGTTCGATTTTTTTTTTTGTAATTTTGCCAATGCCATTATATTTATTTGTATTAGATAAAGTATGAAAATGGAATACTTCGGTCGAGTGAAGGAAGTAACCAATATAGTCGAAAACATGTCGCAATATTTATATCATATTTATTTAGGTCCGATACTAAATGGACAATATTGAACCATTCCTTCTGAACCTACTCCATAGAGGGTCAACAATTTGAATAATCTTTACAGAAGTCAGCTGAGGATTTACACCTGTCGGCAAAACCGACTGAAACCTTGTAATTTTTTTTTTTTAAGAGCATCTAAAAATATACCACTAAAAATGCTGCAGAAAAATATGGAAGACACACTTTTACATATGACTCCTACATCATGTGTAATCTTGCCCTAACATAACACGAAATTTAGTGCACCTAAGCCATTTCATACAATTTTAGTTCGTATTTTTACAAATGCAGTTATCTCATCTCTTTACATATGACTCTAGCATGATTTTAAACTGGCCTAATCCTCTTTTACAAATATAGATGCGGTGTTTGGAGCTGTTGGATCAGGGAGACCTGTAGAAATCGCCCTTCGGTAGAGTATCACTTTGAGATACGTTCTTGGATTTTTGCTTGTGGTAAAAATCTTACAGTCGAGTTTTTTAAATCGATTTTGAGATTAAAAATGTTGGTCGACTTATAATTTTGTTTTAATATTCTAGTCTTGTCAAAATATACCCCAACACTTTACTTTGGGTAAGGTATACATTTTTATATAAAAGTACCTGAACTCAAGCGTGTTTCACTTCAATCTTCATATACCAGCAAGAATTTTGGATAATGCAATTAATCTTATCAAAGTTAGTGAGCCCGTTATATGGGGTCATACCAAAACGGGAACAACCTCTATAGACAATTTTATACTTCAAGGATTGCCATCTTCCAAATCTTCTTAAATACCATATTCGAACAATTTTGTAGGTAAATGTGACTAGTATTATCAAAATACCGAGTATAGGTGGGTATCGTTATATGTGCTCTATAGGAAAACGTGGACCTGTGAACCCATTATGACCCACAAATACCAATTTCAGGACACATCCGTAAAAAAAATTTGCAAAAATGATTAAAATACCGAATATCGGCAGGTACTCTTAAATGGGGGCTTTACCAAAACGTCGACCTAACATACAATGTTTCGAAACCGGAGCTAGAACCCAATATGACCCACAAATACCAATTTTAAGACAAATCCGTGAAAAAAATGTGTCAAAAATCATCAAAATACCGAATATCGGGAGGTGACGTTATATGGGGGCTATACCAAAACGTGGACCTATACATACAATGTTGCGCCACACAAACTAGAACCCATTATGGCTTACAAATACCAATTTTTAGAAAAAATGTGGCAAAATTCATCAAAATCCGAATATAGAAAGGTGCCGTTATATGGGGACCATACCAGAGCGTAGAGACTAATCGAAAGATGGAAAAATCCTCTTTTTCGTTAAAGGCAAAATTGGAAAAGTCCACTCTTGTCTTAGACTACGTATCCCTAGTGTCATTTATATGATTCTCCCTCCTTACCGGTTTTTTTTTTTTAAGTTGAAGTCACACCAGGTTGTAAAGCCTCACAGCCATTACATAAATGTAAAGCGTTTATATTAAAACCGACACCAGACGTTCGCACACTCACTGCCAAATGTGTGTCACCGAAAACAAGATAAAGGCGAAATGGAAAATAAACAGGTTGATGGTGGTTATTAACACTTTTATTGTTATTATTTTTGGTTGGAACTTGGACCACACCGGTGAGGAATTTACATTTTGGGGAAGGTGACAAAAAAAACCGGCTATTTCCTTCTTACACACACCACAAAAAATAAAGAATTTTGTAATACGGAAAAATAAAACAAATATCTTCTATTCAAAAAGTCAAACAATATGCGAAGAAGAGGAAGAGATAGAGAAAGAAAAGGTCATTCCATCAATCGTCAGGCAGTCATTCAGTCGGTGTTTATTTTATATTGCATGCATCTGATTGTGCCCGGTTGGATTGTGTAGCACGAAGAAGAAGAAATAGAATGAGAAGATTATGATGATGTGTGTGTGTGCCTGTGGCCCATTGACATTTTCTGGCTTTGGCCATAAAGCATGCCAAGCCATGCAGGGAAGTGGGGGGAGGAGGATGTGGGCCTTAATTTGGGGGTTGTGTTCCATTGAGCGGCCTAACCTTTTTGGGATTGTTGGAGTTCATTGGAGAGCGGGGGTAGGGGGGTTATAGCACGCTAGTTGCGGTGGTTGTTTGCTTGCTCGCTCGCATGGGATGCTGTCTTCTGTGTTGTACACATTTTCTTGCACCAACAAAAACAAAAAAATAGTAGAGGATTTTCTTCCTCTTTACGGAAGCTTGAAATAATTATGCATTAACATTTTCCTGTTTCCTCGGCAATCTAACACCCACCCCTCTGACTCTTTCATCCTCCCCTTAAGTAGTGTCACAAACTGTACCTATGGCCTACGAATTATGGGAAGTTGGGGGGCGGAGGGATTTGTGATCAGAACTTACCTTAGATGCACATTAATTTAAGTACTTAAAGTTGAGTAGGAATAGCAGAAGAGAACTGGAGGAGTAGAGATTTAACGGCTTTTGAAGACAGGCAGGCAGGTGGTGTTGAATTCCGTTTGTATCAGTGCCGATGGTGCTGCTGCACTTCCAATTTGGCGAGGTTTGTTGTGGGTCTGTTACAGCTGAGATGTGGATCGGAGTCCGAAGTTAGTAGAGGGCTGCTGCCGGATAAAATTACCGGCATTGCTTGTGAACAACTTTCGTCGATTGAGCCCCAATTTCGTAGAGCGACAGTGACAGCGACAACGACAGCTTACGCCAGCGTAAGTGTGTTTTGCTTTGTATATCTTGTTGTTTGTTTTTATTGTTGTTGTTGTTGTTCTGTTTAAGTTGTTGTGTATACCAACATCACTTGACGGCAATGCTGAGGATGAGGATAATGATGTTGCAGCAGCAGCATGGGCTGTGGTAGTCTTGTTGCCATCAAACGATGAAACAAGGTTGACAATTTTATTGTTGTAGTCCTTTTTCTCGTTGTTGTTGGTGTTCTTGTTGTTGTTGCTGCCGTTGAGGTTTCTTGGTTTTCTATGGCAAAGACAATGGACTGTTCTTAACATTTCACAGAGTTTTTATTTTTGTTTAGCTTTGCTTTGCAAAATAAAAAAAAGGGGGCCAAGTGTTTGTTGTGGCAGATTAACGTTTCAAGAGGTCCTCCAGTCGGACGACCCAGCTGGCTGGCAGCCCCACGGCAAAGCAGTTTCTTCTGGGTGACGTAGCAAAGCGTAATGTGCCACCACCACACACCGATCGATATAGCGGCGCGTACAACAAAAATTTTATTTGTTTTTCTTATTTTTTTTTTTTTTGTGTTCCCTTTAAAAGGTTCTTTGGGTTTGGTTTGCTTGACGATGAGGAGGAGGACGCGGAGGAGCAAGTGGTCAGGGGAAGGGCGGTGGATTCTTGCACTACATAGCTTGGGAAATGTGGAATAGCTGAACTTTGTTGTGTCGAAGGCGGCGGCGACACTTGATGGCTAAAAGGTACGTTTGGAGGAGACCCGTTTTTCACTAATGACACACAAATCCAATTCAGTGGAAAATTATTGAGGTTTCTCTTGCAAAATTTTCCGCAATTTTGTAATTTGTATTTTTTTCTTCGTGTTGTTGTTGCTTTTTAAACATTTACCAATAATATTATTTTAATACATATGGAGGAGGGTGGTGCTTTTTCAGGCATTGGGCAACATTTTCGTTTTCAACTTCAATTTTAAAGGAAAATTTCAAACTTCTTTTGAATAATTCTCTTTATTTCGGTTCCTTTTTTGGACACAAATTCACAACTATTTTTTGCTTCTTAATTTAATTTTTTTTGCTTGATTTTATTCTCTATTTTGCAATTAATTTTTTTCACGCGCACACACACCGACACTCACGAGGAACCACAGATACACTTCATTCCCACATAGAATTGGTTGGCTGACTGACTGGCTGGCTGGCTGTTTGGTTGATTGGACAGAGCAGCTCAAATTGTAAATTAAATACAACAACAACAGCGGCGGCAGTGGCAGCAAAAACAAAATAACTTCATTCTCTTTCAAAACATTCGCAGATACCGATGTAGGTATGTCGAAAAGTGTGTGTGTTTGAGTGTGTACACAAATTTCAGTCAGCAGCAGCAGCAGCGCGTACTACACCACTAAGGGCATTTTACCCATGTCTGATGCAAAAAGAAGAAGAACGGCCGATACAGACGCTCAAGAGTAAAAACAGCAATGACTTTAGTAAGGCGGAGAGGTAGCTTAGCACAGATATGCAAAAAAATTAAAGGTATTCATCATCACCATCCTTCAGAGCAGCAAAAAAAGGAATTTCACATAAATTTCATTTTCCACTTAACACAATTTACTTTTCTTCTTCATCATCACAATTTGTTTGCAATTTTATTTTTACATAATTTTCGCTTATTTTTCTTGTCAGCGAAGGTATTTTAGTTGGGTTTTCTTCACAAAATGAAAATTTAGCTACAAAATTAAAACCGCATTCGCATTGTTTTGTTGTATACCACCGTCTCGAAAGAAAAACGCACCACTTTCACTCGGATGAGGAGGCTAACAACGCACACTGGGCAACATCGCTCGCCGATGTCTTCTTCGGTCGACAACTGACTGACAGAAATACTATGAAACTGAATTTTTGTGGTATTTTTTCTTGAATGAGCCACACAATAACAACAACACCAACAACAACATTAATAATAATGATGATGATGACGATGAGAGCAAGTATCTTTTTCTCTGTTTTGAAAGCGCGCACGAGAGACAGAAAAAGAGAGAGAGGGAATAGATAAAACCAGTGTTGCCAACATTTTGAGAGCTAAAAGCGTAATTAAAAACCAGAAAAGCGTAAATGGCGTAAAAACTTTCCTTAAAAAAGCGTAAAAAGCGCTATGTATTTTTTTCTAACCAAAATGCCAAATTTGTCAAAAAAAACAGTTTTTTTTTTTAAATAAATACTGTTTTATTCAAAGATTTAGATCGTATCTTATATAAACATTTCATGTAAATAAGCGCATATATATTTTTAAAAAATGTGCTATATGAGAAAAACTATTTTAATCAAAAATGGAAACAGCCTTTATATCATGTAAAAAATTATCGATAAAGTATACTAGCCTTATAGCATGTTTCCATTGGAAACCGAACAACGTTGTTCGCTCTCAGAATAAGGTACACGAATTAACCCGTTCATACGGCACGATTCGTAATTCATAGTAAAATAATTCCTTTTTTCAAAAATTTTGTTTCTTGATTTTAATGGGAATTTATACTAAAATACATTAAATTCTCACTAATATGAATAAAAGAAATGATTGTTTTTCTCCCAAATATGTATTATATCAATAATTTTATAATTTTCATTCACGTTTTCAACTTTTTGTGTAAATCTTGACATTTTGAACATATTTTTGTGTTTTTCCATTTTTAAATTCTACTGGAGAGACACTTGTCAAACATTTTTTCTGCCAATAGAAACATTTTGAAAATATTGCCTCTTTTGTTTGCAGTTTTCTGTGGAAATTTCATCTCGTGGACCAAATGCGTACTTCGAATGAGAGAGAAAACAAAATTTACTTTCGTTTGAATGTACATACGCCATTCAACATTGTAGTTTTCATTTATAATTTTCAGTCTTCCCAAAAATTTTTAAATTTTCATTAAATTTTTCTATTTTTAATTTTAAATGTCATAATTTATTTTTTCGATAAATGCTCTCATTTGTTAGGGATGGGACATATTTTTTCGTTGTTCTGAGAGTGATTTGAATTGAACAACGTACAAATATGAGTGTTCGCTCAGGAAATTTTGTGTGAAGAATTAAGTAGTTTTTTCATAGTTAAGGGTCAAACAACGAATAGAGAGCGAATCAAGTGCAGTGGAAACGCCACATTAGCTTGTTTTAATTATAAATATCGATTTCATTTAAAATATATAATTTGTAAACAAAAACCACACATCCACTGTGCACCGCAAGCAAAAACACCTCAGCCATTAAAAGAAATTGACAACACTGTTAGGCCATGTGTTCGACTCTGTTTTATCCAGCGATGCCAACTTAGTGCTTTTCGCGCTATTTATGGTGCTTTTTAGACCCCCCAAAACGCCAAAATTGTGGGCATAGCGCGAAACGAAAAAAAAAAGCACTGTACGTACGCTTTTCATATTTTCTGTTGGTGCTTTTAGCGGGTTTTAGTTTTTACAATGTGGCTATGTTTTACATTTTTACTGCAAATTCTTTACGTGTCTTTCATTCCTGTCATTGAAGTTCTTTTGTTCTTTTGTTCATGTAACTCTTTTTTAATAAACAAAAATAAAAGGAAGAATTTTGTGAATTATGGACCAATTGAAGGAAAAGTAAAATTAACGAGAAAAATAATTAAGTTCATACATGGCTGCTTTGTTGTAAGAGTTTACAGAATAAACATAAATGTTTATTTTGATTTTTACAAAATATTGAACGGCTTGGGAGAAAGACCCAAGGAGAAAGGTCTCAAGGAAGATATTCACTTTATGTTGCTGTACATTCGTCATTTCGGGCCGTGAATCATTTGGCAGATGTTTGCAAATTGGAGTTCGCTGACAGCAAAGCAGCAAACTTCTCGCTGCATCGCACAAAATGTACGAATATTGTTAATAATATCCTGGCTCCCCATTTTATCGATAATTTTTTACATGATATAAAGGCTGTTTCCATTTTTGATTAAAATAGTTTTTCTCATATAGCACATTTTTTAAAAATATATATGCGCTTATTTACATGAAATGTTTATATAAGATACGATCTAAATCTTTGAATAAAACAGTATTTATTTAAAAAAAAAACTGTAACAATACTATGTAATGCTACATTTTCTAAATTTCTGTTAATCATTTTTATAACATACTTTAAGGCGCTTCAAATAATTTGTTTTCTGAAAGGAAACGCTCTATAGTGTAATATATATATGTGCAATATAAATATAGTCTATATATATATTAAATACCTTTGTACAGTAAATATTTCAAAAAGTTATGGGGTTCGTTTAAGTGGAAACAACTATAGTTTACTAAAAAATCTTCCATTTTTTCGAAAAAAAAAAAAATCCAGAGGTAGGTGTTTTTACCCTGGTTTCGGGAAACTATAGTTTAAGACCCGGGCTAGACTAGGATCCACTTACCCGATATAACCCACTTACCAATATAGGTATAGTTTGAAAGTTTGTGAAAATGCCTATTAACAAGGTGTCTTGAACCCGGTCTTTCGGGTCAAAAATCTGGGGTCCCGGGTCCGACCCCAAAAAAAGTAGTTTGCCGGAATGAAGGTAAAAATATCTACCACTGGAAAAAATTTCAAAAAAACTTAAGACTTAATTTTGACCAATTTCGTCTATTTTTATACCCTCCACCATAGTATGGAGGGTATATTAAGTTTGTCATTCCGTTTGTAACACCTCGAAATATACATTTTAGACACCATATATATTCTTGATCAGCATAAAATTTTGTGTCGATTTAGGGATGTCCGTCCGTCTATCCGTCTGTGGAAATCACTCTAACTTCCGAACGAAAGTTAAAGTTAAAATTTTACTCAATTGTGTATTATGTCTGCAGGACTTTTGGTATTGAAAATGGGTCATATAGGTACACGTTTTGGTATAGCCCCCATATAATGGTACATCCCTTTTATCGGTATTTTGGTGTTTTAAGCGACATTATTCACCGGATTTAAGCGACATTATTCACCGGAAATGTTTCAAATTTGATATTTGAAGTTTGTAATGGAAAGTATATCCTAAGACAGAAAATTGTCAATGCAGGTTCACGGCTTCGTGTAGCCCCCATATAACGGTACCTCCCAATATTCGGTATTTTTATGATTTTAGCGACATATTTCAACCGAATTGTTTAAAATTTGGTGTTTGGAGTTCTTAATGGATACTACAGCCTATGACAGAAAAGTGTTTGCGCAAGTTCACGTCTTCCTGTAGCCCCCATATAACGGTACCTCCCGATATTCGGTACTTTGATGATTTTAACGACATTATTCACCGTAATATTGTAATGGCTTATGACAAATGTTGCATATGCAGGCCAACGTCGTCGTAAAGACCCTAATATAAGGGCTACATTCGGTATTTTTAAGATTTAACAGAAATTCTAACGGATTTTATTTTTTGAAAATTGCTAAATTCGTTCCAAATGCTGGAGGGTATACAAAGATCGGCCCTGCCGAACTTTAATTGTCTATACTGGGCTTTGCTTAAATTAGATAAGTAGTTTTAACTAGGTCCGTCTGTCTGCCTGTCTGTCGTAAACATTGTATGCATAGGACCACGTTTCGGTATAGTCCCCACATAATGGTACCTCTCGATATTCGATATTTGATGGTTTTTCCACATTTTCATTTATTGACGAAATTGTTTCAAATATGATATTTAAGAAGATTTTCCTTTTCCAATCCTTGAAGTATAAAATTGTTTCGGTATGGCCCCCAAACAACGGCCTCACCCACTTTATGGTTTTTTGAAAAGTTTTACAGCATTATTCCAACGGTCTTACTGGTATTTGTAGTTTAAAGCGGAACACGTTTAAATTCAGATATTTTAATATAAACTTTTTCTCTTTACCTAAAGGTGGATGGTATTGAAAGTTCCGCCTGGCAGAACTTAATGTTTTTTTACTTGTTTTCTTTAAAGATTATTTTCTTTTCTGGACAGATTTGCCGATTTGCGAATTTGCTCTAAATTCGATAGAAATGCTACAATGTATCAAATTTGGATAGGTTTGAAACAGATTTTGTTCAAAGAGACCTAGAGTCGAAAAGCGTTACTTTGAAGTATTTTATTGCAGATTCTCAAGATCAAAAGAGTGGTAAGACAACGACAAATGATCAATTATTTCACATAATGTTTTGTTCTTCTACTGAAATCAGTCGACCTTCAAATAAAATGCATTCCAAACTATTGCAGTAGATCTATTTATTGATTTGCGCCAAGGGCGACCATTCCATTTCTACTTCCGTCTTATTTTAAGTTTTTTTTGCAGTGACTCTCCATTTTGTTAACATTAAAATTTAGATAATGTGCTAAATAAAAACGATTCAATATGCCACCTATGCATTCGTTAACAATTGCTTGTGGTTTAGATGGCTGAGATTTGACCATCATATTGTTTTCATCCAAAACCAAAAATTAGCATATTTTCAGATTTTTAAGCATTTGATAGAGTGTGAGGCAAATAATTTTTTTCATCCGACTTTATGTTTATTTTGTTTTTTATCGGATTTTTTTGGTTCTCAAACGTCCATCGATGAAGAACTCTTTAATTTCCGATTGTTTGAAACAAATCTTTAATGACCCAATATACCAATCTGTTGACCGCATGCATTTTAATTATGTGAAGAACAAAGTTAGAACAAAGAAGCCAGTTTGATCAACAAGCGGAAGTTGTCCTACCTAATGCAAGCGGTTTTTAACAGTGTTGACGGTAAATGGTGGCTTCAATATTTTCTTTTTACTAGTCACATATTGTAAAATAATGTTTGCATAAAGTTTTTATCTATCAAATTTCAGCATTTTCAATTATATATATTTATTAAAATTAGAGTTTTCAATACCCGCCTGTTTTATTTTCTGTTGCTTGTGTTTTGCATTATCAATCGATAATTTAATTCAGCGTCAAGATACAAAAATAACAATTTGGACCGTATACATTAGATAGCCCATAGAAATACCACCATCATAGGGGGGTTCTTTGTTTTTTATTTATTTTTTTCACTTTTGTGGGTGAGGTAGCATAGGAGGCTAACCATTTCTCCCATTTCCACGCTATATATTTTATTGACAGAAATAGTAAATTTATTTTTTTATTATTATTCTTTTTCAAAATTATGATCTTTTGTGGCAACCTTCTTTAGAAAAAGGAGACATACCGGCCCCATTCTTCCAATACCTTCCCCACAAAAGGCTAAAAAAATATGAAAAATTATAATTTCCATAAGATGGGAGATTGTTTCCCAGCCTTTGCAAAGTTCGCTTACTGCAATATTTATACAGATATTAGATCTGTGGAGCATATCCAATATATGGCGCTTCCACCAAGATGGAAAAACTACAACCAACTTTAAACTGCTGTCATTTCTAAGCCACTCGTCCGACAGCTGTTAAAATTATTCCAGTGACAGCTCATTATATTGTTTACAAGCATTTTGCAAAGCATTTTGGTATGAATTTTTCAGAAAAAACCCGCGTCGCAGTGGCCGAAAAATGGCTCCTGAGCTGAACACATCGCAATATTCCATTCGTCAAATATTGAAAGATGGTGATGGTGTGGGCCGCCATAACTGACGATGGTCGCTCTCCGCTCGTATTAATCGAGTGTGGCATTAGAATAAATGCCGAATATTGTGGCGAAAATATTCTGGAGGGTGTATAAAAGCCTTGGGCACGCAAACATTTTGGCCGCAGACCTTGGACACTCCATCAGGATCAGCACCATCGCAGACAGCACGCGCCAGCCAAGAATGATTACAAAATGAGGTTCCTCGCTTCAGAGCAACATTCGGGTAGCGTGTGACGGTTTCCAATCCGTCACACGCTCCCCGATTTGTTTCTGAGAATAATAATTGAATTGTATGTACGTCGGCAAGTACTTCGTATTTTCTCTTTTGTTCGCGGACGTGCTCTCCTGTGTTATTACATATTTCACTGGTAATGCAGATCGTATGTAGTTGTCATTATTTTCGGGACACTGGTAATACAGAGGTTATGTAGCTGTTATTTCTAGCAGCGGTGCTCAAAACCGTGTTCTAGAACATGAGTGGAAACAAGAGATGATTTAAGAGAAAATTAAAATTCAGTTTTTCTTTATATTTTACGATTCTTTTTAATTTTTTTAAACATTAATGTTTGCCAAAATAATTTATAAAGCAAATGGATAAAAAATAATTGTATAAATAATGACTTAATAATGTTTTGTTCTTGATTTAAATAAGCAAAGAGAAATTTGACTGGAAAGAGATGTGTTTTCTTGAGCACCGCTGTTTCTAGTAATGTCTCATGAACATTATTCCACACACATACATTTTCGCCTTGTTCGTCCTAGTCAAATTTTCAATAATATTCGATCCTAAATTTTATGGATTTTGATGACATTTTAGTTTTACTAGGATATATACTCTATAGAAAGGGAACACCGATGAATTATTTTTTTATTTTCAAAAGGTGTGGGTCGATTATGCCAATATCCAAAGTCTATCCAAGCTTGATAGAAATCTTAAATTGTACCAAAAAATGAACGAAATCCGACATTTCTCTTTAAATGCAATCGTCAACAACAGCCAGAAAATCGACTTCAAATCTCTTGGATCGGATTTCGTTCCAAGAGACTAAGGATATAATTTTATTCATATCAAATGATAAATACCTTCTGTAGCCACGAAGCTGAGGGTATAAAAATTTAAAGTCAACTATGGGGTATGAAATATAAGTTAATTTTTAGCAGTTTGGCCGAAGTCCATACAACGAGAAGTCAACTTTTGCTCTCGACTCCTATGTGATGGATCACACAGAAGAGCATGGACCAGGACTCTGAAAGAAAAGCAAGGACTCTGAAAGAAAAGCAATAATTTAAAAATTACCTGTCATAATTGGGCAACAATCGCAAAACACCCATTTTAACGTCTACCAAAGAGAACAACAACCAGTAAATTTACAACAAAATGATAACTGGTCATATAAATAAAAGAAACAATGTTTAAGGGATTTAATACTAAGTACACTGAAGTGTCGGAACAATATCAATGATTCAATTGCAACTACTCAATATTTCAATTGTCATATTATCTTTTGTGTTTTGTTTTTTGCCTTATCTAATGTCATTAAAAGCAAATTACTACTGGCAGCGTGTTCTAATTCGATTACTCACCTTATTGGAAACACCGATCAAAGTTCAAACTCCAAATGATGAAAAAACCCAAAACAAATCTCCCAACTATATAATCAATTATAGGATCGATCCTTTTTGAAAAAAAAAAATTATATTTGGACTGACATTTTTTGTTGTTGTTCGGTTTTATTATTTATTATCATTTCTTGTTTTGTTTTTTTTTTTCTTTTTTTTTGTTGTTGTTTTTTTGTATACATATACATATAAATAAATATTTCATTATTAGTAAAGATAATTATTAGTTAATAGAGATACTGTTTGTTTTTTCGGTTTTTCAGTTTTTTGTTTTGTTTTCCGTTTACGCTAATTCATCATTTTTCCCATTCATTATTCACATACACATATTCAAGTCGAATTCGAATAAATAGTTCCGTTTTAATTAGTTTACTTTTCATCTCGCAGATAAAGTAACAAAAAGGAGAAGTAGAAGAAGAATATTTCTACACCAAAACATTGTTGATTTCCATTTTTTTTTTTTTTTTGTTTCGCATTATCCCGAATGTTTTGGATGTCTGTTGTTGTTTTGCTGTTCTCTTCTTTATTTCTGTTTTTCTTTTATTTTTTTAATTTGTAGGTTATAATTTCCAGCTTACAGCTCATTTTCTAAATTCTATCACTTACATGTAAATTAGTTTGTGTTTTACTTTTGGTTGTCCTCAATTCGAGACAAGAGAGATAGACCGAGATTTAGAGAGATCTACATTAACCCGTCTAAGATCAATCGAAGGTTGATTCTTTTTGTTTTTAATTTCAAAAGGATTACACCTTGTGGTATATATGTGTGTGTGTTTGTGTTGTGTGGGTGTCATATTCAGTATCCTTGGGGGAAGAATTGTAGAAAATATGCCAGAGAATGTATACATTTGTGCATGATCTTTGAATATAGCTTTGAGACCTTCAACGAATAGCAATATACATAAGTTCCCATTTCATGTGTCTGTATATTTACTCCTGTTTACAGTAGATAAATCGTCCATCGAAGAGCGACGTAAATACTTCTATCTAAATTCGGGGTCGAACAAGAGGTTTTCATTGGTGACAAAGTTTTTCGGCTATACACATGCACATAACCCGTGTTTCGCATGGTTAGTATTACAGAGAGAAGAAATGTTTTGATTTTTTATTTAATTGGTATCTTCCCTGCAAGCATTTTTTTTTATCAAATCAGAATCCAAAAAGTGATTTGAAGATGGAAAACGATATAACAATCTTATCAGATTAGATAAAGTAGGTCAGATGTACCAAAATTCAGGACATTTTGACAGATATTTGCCATTTGGTGCACAATTAACCCGAAATCGGTTGAAGATATGTATGGGAGCTATATCTAAATTTGAACCGATCTTGATAAAATTTGGTAGAGGTATTTCTGGGCTGTATCTGATATCTGGTACCAAATATCATTGTTGTCGAATGCATATTACGAATGTAAGGGACTTAAACATCAAATCGGACGAAACCTATGTATGGGTGCTATAGCTATATCGGAAGTGTTTCTCTCCTGTATTTTCTAGACTGAATTCGGTCGGTTGTGCCAAAAATTCAGGAGTGAGTGTCGAATGCATATTACGAATGTGAAGGACATAAACACCAAATCGGACGAACCCCATATATGGTAGCTATGGCTATATCGGAACCGATTTTCTCCGAATTCGATGTATTTGCTTCTAGACTGAATTCGGTCGGTTGTGCCAAAATTCAGGAGTTTTTTGCAGATATTGGCCATTTGTTACAAAATTAACCGGAAATCGGTTGAAGATATATATGAGAGCTATATTCAAATCTGATATCTGGTACCAAAGATCATTCTTGTGGAATGTATATTACGCTTGTGAGGGATTTTAGACCCCAAATCGGATGAAACATATATAGGAGCTATAGCTATATCTGTACTGATTTTCTCCAAGTTTGTTGTACTTGCTTCTAGAGCGAATTCGGTCGGATGTACTAAAATCCAGGTCATTTTGACTCATATGGGTAATATGGTGCACAATTAACCCAAAGTCGGTTGAAGATATATGGGAGCTATATCAAAATCTGATCCGATGATCACCAATTTCAATAGGGTTCGTCCTTGGATCAAACAAATATTGTTTGGAAAATGTCATCTCAATGGGATAATAAATGCGACCTGCATTTTGTTCACAAGAATACATAGACAGACGGACGGACATTCGGACTTTTTCATGTTACAAGCAAATGCTCAAAGACATAATACCCTGACCACTTTGAGGTGTAGGGTATAATAACAAAGGACGCATTGAAGAGAGGAAGATTAAACTCACCTAAAAATGCTTGCTGGGCTTAATTCTCTCATACGTTCTCAATTCTCCCATACGTTCTCAAGGACGTCTGTTCTCATGCTGGTCGACCCTGGCTTAACCTATTTCGAATTACTGGGTATGTAATATAATAGATTACTGATACCTATCAGTAGAAAGAGTATCAAAAATCTGGCTGCGGTCTCCTTGTCTAGATTGGAATTAGTACTGAATTGAAATAAAGTGTAAATATGGATAGATATTCTCTCTACTAGGTTGAAGAGTTAAAATAGGAATCTGTATAGGGGGGAAATTAAGATTGAGACACCCTGCTGAGTGTATTTGTGTGTGTGTGTTAATTTGTAAATAGGTGTGCATTCGTGGTTAACCGTACACGCTCCCAGTCGTCAATCATTACAATTATCTAAAATAAGTTTCTTTTTTTCTAAACATATTCTGAAGCTATACTTATAGTTATAGTACTCAGTTCTAAAGTAGAAATTTATTCATCTAATTTTGTTGTTTTTTAATTATCTTTTATGACCGGGAGAGAGTTACATTGTATATTTGTTATGTGTTAACCACTTAGTAAGGATTGTCGTACTCGAGGAATAGACATGCCATCATTTTTCAAAAAATATAATGTCTTAATTTTGTTTTGACTTTTTTTTTATAAAAGGTAAATAATAATTTTTATATATCTATATACGAGCGTTGGTGTTTTTTTTTATAATTTATATCAGTAATCGCAAAAAACCAAGTAAGATCATAGGTGGTTTACTGACAAATGATATCATTCCGACGGGAAAGATCGTAAAATTACATGTTCTACCAACATTTAACGCCGTCTATATTTCAATATTCTTATTGTTTATAACTACGTTAACTCTCCTTTACCATAAGACTTTGAAATTTAAAACATGGTGAATATGCTTTAAGTTCGAACAAGCCAAAATATATTCGGAAATATTCGAATAACTACAAGGATTTAATTGCGTTCTAATAGACCTAAATATCAATACGACTATAAACTGTTTTTAAAACCCTCATAATTCTGATTTTCGGCTCGAAACACAACATGTGGATTAATGCCTGAAATAGGATGGTACTGTAAAATGAGGGCTTCCCCAAAACGGGACCAAATTATAGGCAATTTCGTTTGAAAACACGGGGAAAATAGCTAATATCGGAAGGAACCACATAATGAGGGCTAAACCAAAACGTGGATGATTCCGAACATTTTTATACCCAACACCATACATACTATGGAGGGTATATTAAGATCGTCATTCCGTTTGTAACTCATCGAAATAATAATTGTAGGCAGAACAAAGTGTATACATTCTTGATCACCATAAAATGCTGGGACGATTCCGTCTGTTGTAATCACGCTAGAGTCAAAACGAATATAGATTGGAAGCAAAAATTTTACACAGATCAATCTTTTGTTCTTGTGAGTACATTACCCCCTGGAAGAGAATTGTCTATATAGGTCCACGATATCATATATCCCCTATATAACGGTTCCTCTCAATTTTTGATGATTTTTGCGACGTTATTTACCGGAATTGTTTCAAATTTCGGCTATACGTCTTCGTATAGCCCCCATATAACGGATTTCATTTGAGCGGCATTTTTCGTCGATTTTTTTTTTAATTTAAGTTTCTTCCAAATAGTGGAGGGTATAAAAAGTTCGGACCGGCGATTAGCTGGTTTTTTAATTGTTATACTTAATAAGGTCTTACAGTTTTAAACCCATTCGATCGGAGGAGTCTAGTTCGATCTTTCAATTTCATTTGTGTCTAAAAAGTTTTGTTTAAAATATTTTTGTTAGTGTCTAGTTCTTATTGGACTTACGATTTCTGAGCTAAATTTTATGATAAAAATACACACCAACACTCATGTAGACATAGCAAAACACATTAGCGAAGTTCAGGACTCATTGCTGGACTGGATTAGAGCAATAGAAACCGGGAGTATCACTTAACAATGGGCAATGGAATGACCGAAGGGACAATGAGTCACAAAGGATGATGTTTTTTTATTTTTGACACCTAACGAGCATTGAATCGTGAACTATGCTATTGTTGTTGTTTTTGTTGTTACTGGTGCAATAGAATTAATAAATGTTGGTTGTTCTTGCTTTTTTTGTTTCTTTTTGTTAACGGTAATTGTTGATATCTGTTGTTGCTGTTGAGTTTTTACTTTGAGTGACTTTTCTTCCAATTATTTCATCCAAAACAGTCAGAGAGAGAATAAGATTTAGAGAGAGAACATTTTACATATTGTGTTTACACATTTATTGTTATTAGTTTTTTTTGGAACGGGAATCAACTCAAAGAATGAGTTACAGAGAGAGAGTTACAGAATGAATGATAATTTAATACTGAGAGTAAATATGTATGTCGTCGTCGTATGTTTGCAGCATGTTTGTGATAAGAGGCAGATATTAGCTGATATCGATAAAAATAGAGAGAGAGAGAGCGTTCAATTTGCGATGAAAGCGGTAATGTTATGTAATTTGATGTGATTGATCATGGTAAGTAGCATATGTATTTATTTATGTAGATAGGTACAATTATGGAGTACGATTAGTTTGTTGTTGTACACTCTTACATACACTGTTTGTATGTATGTACTTAGTATATGTATATATGTATTTTGGATACGCACATATCCAAAGATAATAACAGAAACACATGTATGTATGTAGGTATATAGAAATGCTTTTTGAAAGCCAATAATAAATAGTATTATTAATGATAATAATAATAATAATGACCGTATGACAATAATCATGATAAATAGTACTTTTTTAAAAAAATAGTCTAATTTTAGGCGGTAATGGGCGGCTATGATTTTTATGTATACAGTAGTAGTTCTTGTTGTTGCAATCAATCGTTCCGTACTGTATATATAATAGTAGTAGTTATAATTTGTATTTATGCATTAGTATTTATTGTATATATGTAATATGTATGTATATGTTGTATGTATTTTATATATGTATAAATATTATTATGCGCGAATAACACGATGTTACAGCAAATTAAACTAAGTTCCTATGCATAAAGTTGCAATGTGACACGGGTTGTGAGAGAAAGTAAATCTTTAGTGAGAGCAACTCCAAAAGTGAGGTTATGAAAGTTATTGTATTGTTCGTAATTAATAAATAAAACACGTTACGTTGTATGGATATAAAAAAAGGAGAAAGGACGTTTCATTGCAACCTATCAAAGAATGAGAATTTAGACCCTGGTAATGGAAATTTTTATAGTCTTGAATTTTTATAGTCTGGAAAAGTTAACATAAGTTAAGAAGTGTCAGTCATTTTTTGAATCGTTGACCCTCTATGGAGTAAGTTCCGAAAGAATGGGCCAATATTGTCCATTTCGTATCGGACCTAAATAAATATGATATATATATATATTGCGACGTGCCAGATTTGGACTATATCGACTACTTCCTTTGTATGAGATATGTGATAATTTTTAGAAAACGTTGAAATGTGCGTGATTTCCATTTTCATACTTCATCTAATACAGATTAAAAATATTGGTATGGACAAAATTACAACAAAATCGAACATTTATATCCCATTTTAATTTAGAAATATTTAGATATATTAAGTTGTAAAGAATTGCTGGCTTGTTTTGACAGATAAAAGTATTGAAAATTGTGACCCTATGTGTGGAGGTATCAGAACGAGTTCGCAGTACCAGGGTTCTTCACAACATATCTTTGGATGTGTGAAATTTTAAGAGAGTTGGATGCTGATTTCGATTTATTTGAGCGTTTTATTTTTCAAAATCTTAAACCCTATTTGGGAGAAGAAATGGTGCGATCTCTACCATCTTTATAACATATTTAAAATGTTGATGGAAATATTGAGATGGACCAAGTCTGAATGGAATCGGATGTTAATTTCACGTTTTATGAGCTTCATGGCTACTAAAAAGTTTGAACTTTTGTGGGGGAGGTACTTGAAGGAGTGGACCGATATATCCCATCTTCATACCACACCTTGGGTTAATAAAAATATTTTGATCTGCGTAATTTAAAAAGAACCGAATGCTTATTTCGAATTTTATGATCGTTATGGTCATTCAAAACTTTGACCCTTTGTGGGGGAGGTACCAGAAGGCATGGTCCGATCTCTACCATATTTATAACAGATCTTGTGCTTATGGAAATATTGAGATGTACTAAGTCTGTATGTAATCGGAAGTAAATTTCGTGTTTTATGAGCTACATGAATATTCAAAATGTTGATCCTTTGTGGGGGAGGTACTTGAAGGAGTGGACCGATATATCCCATTTTCACACCAGACCTTGGTTTAATAAAAAGATTGTGATATTTATAATTTGAACAGAAACGGGAGCTTATTTTGGATTTTATGATCGTAATGATTATTCAAAATTTTGACCCTTTGTGGGGGAGCTTCAAGAAGGAGTCGACCGATATATTCCATATTCACACCAGACCTTGGATTATCCAAAATATTGTGATGTGTGTAATTTGAAGACAATCGGACTCTTGCATCACATTTTATAAGACTTATAATTATTACAAATTTTGACCCTTTGTGGGGGAGGTACTTGATGGAGTGGACCGATATTGTCAATTTTTGAACCCGACCTAGCAGTGATGCAAATACTAGGGTTTGCAAAGTTGGAACAAAATCGGATTATCCTTTCCCTGTCTGTGCAGTAAATTATTTTCTTTGAAAATAATGACATTTTGTGGCGGAGGTAGCGGAAGAAGAGGACCGATATTAACCACCTCCGAAGTCGATGTAAGTTTGACAATAATATTACGATGTACAATTGACTCCAATACGATGCTAGATCGACCCCAAATGTCCTGAAACGGATTTGATCCATGATACCTAGTGTCTAAAACCGTTATTTCGATGAGACACGTTTTGGCCGTATCAAATGATTTATACCCTCTGTAGCCGTGTGGTTGAGGGTATAACAATAACAAGAATCGCCTCAATAAAAAATTACTCTTTACCACACCGAGCCACTTGAAATTAATTCCAATAATTTGTGTTATTTTAAATTTTGTCTTTTTTGGTAACATCGTGTAAAATATGGTGGGGGTATATGGAGGGAATTGCAGAGATAGTAGATATTTTCTTTTGGTTTTTCCATTTTTCTTTTAACGGCTGATGACAAATGACATGTAATTTTTGTAAAAAAACCGGAGTGGAGCAGGGGGAATGCTTTAGCTTTTTTTTCTTTTTCACTTATCGTCATAGGGATTTGAGGTTAGAGGTCAGAGGACTTGCAGATAAACTCTTTACAATTGTCATCAAAAAGCACAGCCTTGGCACCGAATGTCGGTCGCCAACACGGGTTCGGTGCTTACGGCTCTTACTTACAAATCAAAATAAAACTCAACAAACAAAACCTAAAATTGATTAACTTTTAGTTCGTTACCCTGTAACTGGACCAGACGGAAGGCCTCCCGTATTGTTGGTGTCATCAGCAGACGTAGGTTGCTCTCCGCCTCTGCGGGCAGTGAGCGCAACAGCTCCATTGAGGCCACAACCAGTTGGGCGAGGGCTGCCCTTTTGTAGTTGGAGTCCTTGAGGATACTGGTGGCCCGTTGCTGTTCAATTTCCGGAGAAATCGATTCTGTTTCGGCTTTTTGTGGACGATTCGTGTCGAACGGATTGTTGCGACTCTTCGGCTGGAATTCACTGATTAATGTGGTCATGGTAATGCTCTCCTCCTCGGCTATTTGATTGAATTTGTTCGGCGAATAGTCTGTGGTCTCGGAAAAACTCGAGCCGTTGCCATTCTCAAAGTTGCCATTTATTGTTATGCACATGGACTTGATGGGTCTGCTGCTGGACCCAGATGCCAAATGTTTCAGTTCTGTATCGGAGTTGCGCAGACGTCCATTCTCAATGTCATGCAGTGTCGAATTGCTCAGATACAGCTCACAAACCAAATTCCATGCATCCTGCAGGCAGAATAGGTAGCGCACAAAGTTCTCCTTTTTCTTGACTTTGGTGGTGTTGAGCCTGGAACACGATTCCAGTATGAAGTTCAGATCCTCCGGTCCCAAGTTGTAGATAACAATGTCATTTAGATAGGAATCGACCAGAGCAATGTAGTAAATCATCCAGGAGGAGGTCATTTGTTTGTACAAATTGGCGGCGTACTCAATGTTGGCCACCTTCTGCATTAGGAATTTCAGGCCGGGTCGCGAGTCAAACTCCAAAGCGCTCGTTAGGAACTGCAGACAGCAACGTAGTAATATTTCTTTTGAGCGAAAGTCCAGGTCATAGTCATAGGTCTGTTGGCTGGCCGTGGTGTAGTTGTCGAAAATACACGTGGACACGGCCTGAGGAACACATTTCAGACGGGACAGCAGCAACTTGGCCACCAGTTGCAGTAGCATTTGATTGGCCAACAGGCCCACCACCAGTGTCTTGAAGGGTATCCGTATGACAAAGTTGTCCAAATTCGAATTGAAGCCATTGTTCTGAGGATAGAGTAGGAAGGAGTAGCTGCGGTCATCGGTTAAATGTTTGTCCAGATGGCTACTGGGTTTCGCCGATGCCGGTTCCCTTTGATTGTCCGACAAAAAGACCTGTTGAGCCAATGAGTAGATACGAGTCAATTCTTCCACGGTACTGTCACGTCTGGCGGCCACCTTGACATTGGCACAGTCCCCGTAAAAGCTGTTGGACTTTTCATGGAAAGCAAAGGAGAGCTGTCTCAACGGAGCTATGGTCACGGTGCAGGCTCTGTGTATGGCCGAACAGGCAATCATCCATTGGTATTCATTGAAGAGGGTGCCGGTGGAGAGTATGACGTGTTTGAGGCATGAAACACCTACCCGTGCCACAGTTTCCTGCACCTGGGCAGCACATTCGATGAGCACGAGCAACAATTGCTTCAGGGCCAGCGTGGCCGAATTTGATACCTTTGTCAGCGACTCTTTGGTCTCCGAGTTGGAGGAGGAGCTTTCATCGTTTGTCGTCGAATTGTTATAGTCCGTTTGCGCATGATTCCTATCCTCCAAAGGCTCTGTGACAAATTTGAGTTTCGAATATGAATTGTCACTGGGCTGGACAATTTGTGTCACCCTTGTCCGGGTGTTGGATGCTTGTTTCTGTACCTCGGGCACGGACATTTTTATGAAGTCCACCACCAGATCTGTGGTCATGCAACAGCAATGCTTAAAGTTCTTCTCAACCAGCTGCCAGGAGGTGCCCGTCTTGTTGATGTATCTCAGCCAGTCCTGGATCATGGGTATCAGCAGGTGATTGATGCAGTAGAAACCGAATTCTATGCCAGGATTGCTTAGCAGATTCTTGAAGTGTTTGAAAATGGTCTGCAGAATCGGGGCCTGGTGTGAATAGGGACACACAATGAGCGAGTTGGTTAGACCATCCAGCAGCAGGAACCACACCTTCAGCACACCGGACGGCTTGTCCATTTCATCAATCTTTACAATGTTCTCCTTGTCAATGTGCAGCGATCGATAGGAGATCATGTGCTGCTCATTCTTGGTCTGCAAATAGTCGTTGCCGAAGTAGGTGAAGTTCTCCATGGAATTGGGAATGTTGGCATCGATGATGTGTGTGTAGGAGATGCCCTTAATCTTGTAGGTCGAGTGGAAATTCGGACACTTGGGCATGTTGTACATGAAGCCCAGTATGGAGGAGCAACGCTCCAGGAAGCGTAGGGTTTCGTGCAGAAACTCGGTTGGTCTAAAGTTGGTTTCCTCACTGATGTCGGTGGCATTGCTGCTTCCGTTGCCATTGCTATTGGTGCTGCTGCTGTTGCCATTTCCACTGCCTGGCACTTCCAGGAAGGAGAGCAAACACAAAATACAATCCAAGCCAGCATTGGCAAAGACCAAGGTATTATCCGAGTCCAAAAACACCCGGAAAATATCGATTATGTTACTGGTGCTTAGCATCCGGGAGCGTGCATTGCGTAGCGTGCCGAAAAGTGGACGCCAGCCGGAACGGATTTCGGTGCGATGGGCCTCCACAATTTCATAGAGGCATGCCACAATTTGATCCTGTACATCCGAATCACAATTGTCCATGCTGAGTAGATTCTCAAATGGCTTTAGCAGGGCTTCATTGAAATGAAAATATGGCAACTCTGATTGTTCCACCAACAGGGCCGTCACTATGTCGTGTATGTACTCAATGGCTCGTTTCGATATCACCCTATCGCGATGACAGGCTGTGTCCATTAGATGGGGTCCCGTTATGGCCCACACCTTCAGAATGTGCAACAACGGCCTGGGGCTGCGAAACACTTTCAGGGTAACATCTCCAATACGATGCAATAGCAAGGACATGGGCAGAGAGTCATGTTTGCGCCATCCCTTACTGGGCCACCAAACGCGACTGCCACCTTTACGAGCCGCAGTATTCTTGTACAGCTGTTCCCGGGAAGCTCGACACAAGTTCTTGAGAAATTGACACAGCGAAGGCAGACTCAGACGTTCTGCAGCATCGCTGAACAAATTCTCGGCCTGGTGCGACAGGCCGCACAAAACCTTTGTGGTGTCATTTGGACTCAGCAGCACCGTTTCATTGGTGCCCGAATACACTTTCAGAATGGAGGTGATATTTGTGTTGGGACTCTGCAGAGGGGCTTGCAGGAAGCTGTAGACATCAACGCTGTAAGGGATTGGGGGAGATATTTAGTAACACTCTTTTCGACAATTTTTCTGGCATCCTCACACTTACCACGTCTCATCATCATCAATGGGTATGGAGGCCAAATTGAGTTTGTCATTTGGCCCGCCATTGCACTGCAACTTTTCTCCGGTCTCTATGTCTCGATTGGCATTCGGCGAGGAGGAGGAGGGAACCGAAGGATTTCTCATGCTAAACATTTCATGTTCCAGCTGGCTGACATGTCGGCACACCGCAAATATGGACTGCCAACAATCGGGACTATAGGAACCCAAGTTCAGGCCACCGCTGAGCACCACATCCATTGACATTGCCTGGCTGGCGGAAATACGTGGTCCGGTGGTCTGGCAAACATTTGATGCCAATAAATTTAGGATTTTTCCAGCCAAATGTTGCAAGTTCAAGTTATTGCTTAAAGTAGCTGCCTGCAGAGGGAATGGAAAAGTGGAATCAATTTCTGAAAAAAAAAATTCACCCTCAGTGTTTTCTTACCGAATGCAAACCATCCAGACACATGGCATACAAAGCCTCTCCATTGGACTTGGTACTTTTACTCTTCACACGTAATGTCCTCTTCGAGAGTGCCACAAATTTACTTGAACTGGAGCTGGGCAAGTCGCCCAGACCCGAACTCAAGACCATCACCATGGAATCCCAGCAGCAGGTGAGCAAGCGTCTGCTTAGTTTCTTGGCAGCCTCACGACGGGCACTGGACTGTTCATCATCGGTGTATTTGACATTGGCCGTTTGCAGGCGTTGCCATTCGCACATCATTTGTGTGGGACCCAGACCTCCGGCATCGCATAGCATATCAATCAAGGCACAGCGTGAATCTTGATCGTTCCTATCCAATGACTCCAGCAGATTGGACACCAAAACGCTCTGATAGAGTTCGCAGAGCCAAGCCGACGACAGGTAGACAAGGACTCCAGTATTCTGGACCGAAGTTACAAACTGTTGCTCCGACGTGGGTATCATGATCTCCTTCTGCATATCGGCATAGTAGCCGGCCTTCTTGAGCTGCCAGCTGAGCAGCAGGGCTGAGTAAATTGCCAAGTATATGCCATCGGCATTGATGATGGTGAAGTTGTAGTCAAAGTCGGAAATATTTGCACTGTTCTCCTGACACACTGCCGAGGCAAACTCTTGCATTGCCTCATCGACCTCAATGCACGATCTGAGCCTGGCCAGCTTGGGCACCAAATCGACACACAACGCCTTGGCAAAGTCACGTGCATGTTGCCGGTCGGCATCCACATCGGAACGTATGGGAAACACGGGCACCTCCAAGTTCGTGTACGGCCAACGATTCAATTCACCCCGCGAAGCTTCATCGCTCGAGGTGGAATGTTCCTCCTCTTCGGGCCCTTCGGTATCGCCCGAACCATTTGAGACCACATCATTTTCCACATGTTGGTCGCCATCACTTTCCGACCCCGACGAGGCTTCATAAACACTCTGGCGAAATTCGACCACAGCATCGCGATACGAGGGTGGCAAGCGGGCCATCGATTGATAGGTCAGCGGCCCCGTATAATCGGCATCTTTCAACTGGCCGTAGCGACCGTTGACCACATTGACAATTTGATCGCTAATAATTGTCTCGTTGATTTCGCCGGTGCACAATACCTGCAGACTTTGCAACAACGCCACCATGCACTCAACACTGGCCTGAAGGCTGGCCTCAACAACAAACCCAGTCCCATTGCCGCTGCCAGTGCCATAGGCACACTCTTCCATGGCATCAATCATCCTGCAGAGAGACAGAGATAGAAACAATAATTAGTTCCAGGACCAATAGTCCCACAAGAATACCACTTACAATCTGAACAGAGCCATCTCGTCGCTACATCCCGTGGGAGTTGTTTTGTCGGCATATAGAATAACAGCTAGATCGATTAATCGTTCGGGACTTTTAAAGATTTCCCTAACACACTTCAGAGGTTCGGTGCGATTTTGCGGTGTGGGCAAGAGTAACATGCGATGAAACAAGGCCTCCAACATGGGTCTTAACGAGCCATGGGAACCGGCAATGCGCAGCAGTTGTATACCCGTGAGATAAACACAACGGGCCTGGGCACCATCCAGGCCAGGTCCCGTAAAGAAACCCCTGGCCTCGTTCTCTATAATGTGAAGAGCATCCCTACAGAGGTAAAAAACATTGTTAATCTGAAAAATACCCCTTCTAATTAGCCATTTTTCTTACTTGTAGGTAAATTTCTTATCCAGATTCACTCGACCCGGTGAACCCAAGGCCGCTGCCAGTGTTGGACAAAACTTCTGCCATAAAAACGAAGTAAAATGCGGATTGGCATAGACATTACGCGGCAACGATGATGTCAGCGTCAAAATACATTCAGTCAAATACAAGGTGCAGGTGTTCTCCACTTTCTTGTTGGGCGAATTGTTCACATTTGGCTCGACCAAACGACTGCAGAGCCATTGCATTACGGGTATTACTTCGTTGTACACAGCCGTGGCCTGTGTCTGGGTCATCAGTCCAGCTGGTGCAGTTTTCTTTACATCCTCGGCCTCTTCGATGAGGAATGTGCAAAATGTTCTCAGACATTGGGATGCTGCTGCCAGTGAGGCTGCTTTTATTGCCCTCGAACCCAGTTCCCAACATTCGCCACAGCGCGATAGAATTTCAATTAATAGCCTGCCATTCAGGGTGCATGCGGGGGAACATGCCATTGCCAGGAATAGCCGCAACACATTGACGACAGTGTCCTCGTTATTGTTTGTGGGTAAGATGCCGGATGTTGCTCTTAGCAGTTGTGAGGGTAACCAAACGGAATCATCTTCCGGTTCCAGTCCAATGTAGAATCGTTCATCTTTGATTATTCTCTGTTGAAGGGACAAAAACGATGGATAAGTTTTAGTAGAGGAAATGCAATGGGGGAAGAGATGCTAGAGTGCGCCCTGTCGAACGAAGATATATCCAAAGGGAGATATATCCAAATCTGAACCGATCTCGATAAAATTTAGCAAAAGCATTTCTGAGCAGTATTTTCCCAAATATCCTTGTTACAGAGTGCATATTACGGCTGCGGAGGGCAAAACAAAACATATCGGATGAACAATATATATGAGAGCTATAGCTATATCTGAACCGATTTTCTCAAAATTTTACATACTTGTTTCTAAACTCAATTTGATAGTGAGTACCAAATTCCATCCCATTCGTGCTGATATTACACGTTTGGTGCACAATAAAAAACAAATCGGACGAAGATATACAGGGTGAGATGAAAAAACTCAGACTGCTGTCATTTCTAAGCCGCTCGTCCGACAGCTGTTAAAATTATTCCAGTGACAGCTCATTATATTGTTTTCAAGCGTGCAAAAGAATTTTGGTGAGAATTTTCCAGAAAAAAAGTTATTCGTGGTGGAATTCAAGCGTGATAGTTTGATTTCTTTATATTTAGCTGAAAAGCCACAAGTGGCTATCGTTAGAGCACTCCAGCATTTAAATGTGAATAAATCTTTTGTGTCTCGTACCATCGCTCGTTACCGCGATACTGGTAGCGTAGCCCAATGTCAAAGATGTAGACGGAAGAAAACAGCAACATCAGCAAAAATGTTTCGAAAAGTAAAGAAGTGACTTGATCGAAACCCTCGTCGCAGTGGCCGAAAATGGCTCGTGAGCTGAACATATCGCAATATTCCATTCGGCAAATATTGACAAAATGAGCTCGGGGTAAAGCCATTGAAATTCTAAAAAGTGCAAGAAGGCCGAAAGTGGTGAACTGCCGAATTTGGTTTTCTCCGATGAGAAAACATTCGTTATCCAGCAGTTTGTAAACAAACAAAATGATCGTGTTTACTTGCCAAAGAGGTCAGCTAAAAATGTGCACCTTCGGTTGGCCACCATAACTTAAGTGCCGGCCATGGTGATGGTGTGGGTCGCCATAACAGCCGATGGTGGCTCTCCGCTCGTATTAGTGGAGCGTGGCATCAGAATAAATGCCGAATATTATCGCGAACATATTCTGGAGGGTGTATTAAAGCCTTAGGCACGCAAACATTTTGGCCGCAGACCTTGGACATTCCAACAGGACTCCGCAACATCGCACTCAGCACGCGCCACCCCAGAATGATTACAAAATGAGGTTCCACGCTTCATTTCCAACACACAATGGCCACCAAAATCTCCGGATACCAATCCGTTGTACTATTGTGTCTGGAGTATTTTGGAAAAGCAAGGTTGGCACTAAAAAAGACCAAACTGTCGATCACCTCAAGCAAGCGCTTCGCCGGGAATGGGCCAAAATACCGTAGAGCAACATTCAGGCAGCGTGTTACGGTTTCATTGGCCGTTTGAAGGCCATAATTCGTGCCAAAGGTGACCAATTAGAACAAAGCAAAACTTATTCTAAATTTGATGCTATTTCCGACATTTTTTGCTTCCATTCAATAAGATTAAAAAAAAATATAAAAATTATGACGTTTGACTTTGTTGAAGTTTTTTTATCTCACACTGCTATAGCTATATCTGAATCAATTTCCACCAAATTTGACATACATGTATCTAGGATCAATTTGTCGGAGGTTCCAAATTCCATCCCATTTAGTCTAATATTACACGTTTTGGTGAACAATAAAAGGCAAATCGGATGAAGTTATAGATATGGGAGCTATATCCAAATCTGAACAAATCAAAACTTATTCAAAAATTTGATGCTATTTCCGACATTTTTTGCTTTCATTCAATAAAATGTAAAATTATGGCATTTGACTTTGTTGCAGTTTTTTTTCTCACCCTGTATATCTCAAAATTATATATTTGAAACTTCAAACTTGTAACTATTGGAAACTTTTTTTATACGAACTACCAGAAGCATCAGCATTTTTTCAATTGATTTGGATGAGATCACCACCGAGTATATACCAGATTGTAAGTAGAAATTAACCCTTTTTAATATACGAATCATTTTGATCTTAACCTTCCCGTTTTGTTGCAGGGTTTGAATATATATATATATTGAATATATCTGTATGTATAAACGTTTGCCATCCATCCTAATGTACATGAAGTGAAAAAAGTCAAAATCCAAACCTTTTTGGTAAGGATGTCACGTACTGACAACATCTTGAATCGATATGATGACGATGATGACTCCCTATCGTAATATACATATGTATGACCATGTACTTTAAAAGCCCACAAAAAAACTGGCTGTCGTGCACACATTCACCCACACACACACACGCACACACAAACGCTCGAACAAATGCCCAATGCATGTGACCCTATAAGGATCTTGGGACACGCATAAGTACTTCAACAAACTATGGAGGCTTTTCTTCGTTCGTTCATCAATTGATGATAGGTTCACCCTCACACCCAACCAAGACATCACTTACATGCAATCCATTTAGACCCATTGTCACAAACTTTGGACGTTTGGTATCCAGAGCCATTTGTAGGGCTGTAAAGCACACCGAACGCAGTTCATGTGATGGATCCCTGTGTATGCCATGTTGGCGATATAATTTGTCTGGAATCGAAAATTGATTAAAAAAAATTAAAAAAAGAAAAAAAGGAACATGAAGTTGTTCCATTGTCTTACCATAGGCAATTTGTGCAGTTTGTCGCAGGGCATTGTGCTTTGTTCCCGTCGACTCTTTTATTATCAATAGAAACAGGTCCTCCATACTGCTGCCGATGCTATTGTTCCTGTCTCTTGTTTGTGTTTGTGTGTCTATGTATTACACACACACAAACCACAGTAATTTTCTTTGCGAATTTGTTTATCGGAGTAAAACTTATATTTCGTCGTCGTCTTTAAATTTCAATTCAGCATTTTGTCCAACTTGATTTGAATTTTCTGCATTTTTCAATTGCTTGGATGGTACTGCTGCTGCCACTGGTGTGTGTATATTTATCCTTCTGCTCCGCTGAATGTCACATATGTTTGCTTTGCAGTAAGTATGACTCAACTTGTAGAAAAAATGTACCCACTTTTTGGAAATTCAAGGTTTAACAACTTCCTTTTTCCTTTTCTAATTGAAGTTTTCAATTGTGTCCTTTTCTTAAATCATCGCCAGCACAATTTTCGTTTACTTTGCTTTAATTGTTTTCTTCTTAAATTTATTTAATTTTACATGGGAAAATATTCTAAATTTTCTTTGGTTTTTCTTCTGTGTTTTTTTTTAGGGAAAATTTATTTTCCTTTACTATTGTCTGTGTTGAGAATTTATCTGAAATACTGTTTGGGTTGCCACAACTAACTATGGGTCGTTCGTCATTGTGACTCGATGGTTGGTTGCTTGGTATGCACACTAACAGTGGTAGCGGACCAGATAGGTTTGTACTGCGCAGGTCTGTCCATTGTCGGAGCGAGATTTGTGCGTGTGTGGAGGAAAATCAATACATTTTTGACATTTCTCCCTTACGCGCGCCTTTCTCTTGACTGGTTCATTAGTCCGTCTTCAGCATGAAGCAAAGCTGCACATGTTTATCCTAATTGTAAATTCACATCTGTCTATTTTCCGGGAGGTGTGACATTGGGACGTAACCACATTTTGCCGTTGTAACCAGGAGGACATAATAAAAAAAATATGAAAATTTAAAGGATGCAGGAAGTTGAAAGAGTAAAATACATTCGTATCTTAAAACCCAGCTGTGTCGAACTCCCAAAATGGACAAAAAATGTTTCCCTGTTTCCCCAATGTTTTTCTCCTACAATTCCATTCTGTCCTATGTTACAATGGTCGTGGCGTGGTGTATTATGTTACGTCTACTCATTACAGATATACTTCATCGGTATCATCGTTATCTACAGCCTGTTGGTATCTCGCACCATGTACTCGGTACGGCAGCCAGCAAGCAGAGTGTGTAGTGGAAATATTAATGGCGATTACAGTGAGGTTACGTTTGTTAACAAACAGGTGGTTTATCTGCAATTGTTTGGCTCCATCAAGGATGTATGAGGAAACGGATGGATGTTCTTAAGGATTTTTATTCTCAAAAGCATCTCTTTCAGTCGTAAACGAAAACACACATTTGCAAGCACACACACACACACACACTCAAACAAAGGATATTCTTTGTGAATTGCATCATTTTTATTCCGTCTCTTGTTTCCTCCATGAATAATCATCGGCTGTTTTGTTTTGAATACAAAACATAAGTATGTATTATCAGCGGACAAGTTGTTATGTTATTCGAACTGTTGAAAATGAATTATCACATATTCTTCAATTTGAACTGCAATAAAATATTCGATTGCTGTCATTTTCATATAAAAATGTTTTGTTCAATAAATTTAATTGTCTTTCTAAAAAAATCATAAATCGCATTAAAAACGAACGAACTCAAAGACTGCCAAATTTTAAATGGACACTCCTTCCGTTGATATTTAAAAACAATCAATTCAATTGTTTTTAAATATCAATGGAAGGAGTGATCAATTTTGTGGCTTCATAAAAATCATGATTTTTATACCCTACACCACAAGGTGGTCAGGGTATTGTCTTTGTGCAGGCAAAAGGAAAGGTGATAGGCCCATAGTTCCTTTTCATTATCTGCATAGAATCACATTCTGAGTCGTTTTTTAGATGTCCGTACGTCAGTCTGTCTGTCTCTCTGTCCATGTATTTTTGTAAACAAAGTACGGGTCGCATTTATTGGCCGATCCAGATGAAATTTTGCCCAAGTTATTTGTCTGACCCAAGGACGAACCCTATTAAAATTGGAGATAATCGGCCAAAATTAAGATATAGCTCCCATATATATCTTCGTCCTAATTCCCTTTTATTGTGCACCAAACGTATAATATCACCACAAATAGTATGGAGTTTTGCATATACGACCAAAATAAGCCTGGAAATAAGTATCCCAAATTTGATTGAAATCGGTTCAGATATAGTTATAGCTCACATATATATTATTCATCCAATATAATATGTTTGTCCTACACAGCCGTAATATGCTCTCTGTAACAACAATATTTGGGGAAATGTATCAAATACAGCGCAGAAATGCATTTCCCAAATTTTATCGAAACATGTAATATTAGCCAGAATAGAATGGAATTTGGAACTTTCGACCAAATTGAGCCTAAAAACATGTGAAATGTGGTAAAAATTGATTCAGATATAGCTATAGCTCCCATAAACAGGGTGAAATAAAAAGTACTGCAACAAAGTCGAACGCCATAATTTTTAATTTTTTTTAATTTTATTAAATGAAACCAAAAAATGTCGGAAATAGCATTAAATTTTAGAATAAGCTTAGATTTGTTCAAATTGGTCACCTTTGCCACGAATTATGGCCTTCAAACGGCCAATGAAACCGTCACACGCTGCCCGAATGTTGCTCTTCAGTATTTTGGCTCCATTCCGGCGAAGTGCTTGCTTGAGGTAACCGACACTTTGGTATTTTTTAGTTCCAACCTTGCTTTCCAAAATACTCCAGACACAATAGTCCAACGGATTGGTATCCCGAGACTTTGGTGGCCATTGTGCGCTGGAAATGAAGCAAGGATGCTCATTTTGTAACCATTCATGGGTGGCGCGTGCTGAGTGCGATGATGCTGAGTACTGTTGGAATGTCCAAGGTCTGCGGCCAAAATGTTTGTGTTCCCAAGTCTTTAACACACCCTCCAGAATATTTTCGCGATAATATTTATAATATTTTTTATTACATTTATTCTGATGCCACGGTCGATTAATACGAGCGGAGAGCGACCATCCGCTGTTACGGCGGCCCACACTATCACCATGGCCGGTGCTTGAGTTCTGGTGCGCATTTTCATCTCACCTCTTTGGCAAGTAAACATGATCATTTTGTTTGTTTACAAACTTCTGGATAACGAATGTTTTCTCATCGAAGAAAACCTAATTTGCCAGTTCACCACATTCGGCCAAGCGAAGCAACTTTTTAGCTCTTTTGATACTATTTCCTTTCTGTTGCGATGTAAGTTCTTGCACTTTTTGGAATTTCAATGGCTTTACCCAAGCTCATTTTTTAATATTTGCCTAATGGAATATTGCTATATGTTCAGCTCACGAGCCGTTCGGCTACTGCGACGAGGGTTTGGATCAAGTCGCTTCTTTACATTTCGAACCATTTCTGCTGATGTTGCTGTTTTCTTCCGTCTTCCATCCACTTCCTTGACGTCGGACTACGCTACCAGTATCACGATAACGAGCGATGGTACGAGACACAAAAGATTTATTCACATTTAAATGGTGGAGTGCTCTAACGATTGCCACTTGTGGTTTTCCAGCCAAATATAAAGAAATCACACTATCACACTTGAATTCCATCATGAATAACCTTTTTCTGGAAAATTCTCACCAAAATGCTTTTGTACGCTTGTAAAAATATATAATGAGCTGTCCCAGGAACAATTCTAACAGCTGTCGGACGCAGTTTTTTGCAGTTTTTTTTATCTCACCATGTATATATTTGTTCAACTATTTCATGCATGTAGGTATGTTAATAATAGGGATGTTCTAACTTCCCCACACATTGGTGTAATAAAGAATCTATCAACAATATTGTTAGGTTAATCAACGTTTTTATTAAATTACAATTCATTTGATCATATAAAAGTTATATACGCATGTATATCTATCATATACAATACTACATTTATTTTTTTTTTTAAGAATTCACAAAAATATATATTTAAAAATGAATATTATTCTATAATACTGGATAATTTTTTAAATAATTTGGGAATGAATGTTATTCGAAGTGTAAAGAAGCATGTCGGTGTACTCAATGTTCCGAAACAACATGTTTGTTGTATGAGTTCAGTAAATGGGTATTAATTGTAATTTTGCCCGAATACTCTGATCGATTGAGTTTGTTGAGTACAAAGACATACTAATTATTGGTAATTTTGTAAAAGTATACATACAAAAAGAATGAAATGTGCAAACAATTAATGTCGACCTTTCAATACAAAAAGTTTGTCAAAATCGTCTAGTGACACATTATTAAATTCCCACTTCTGTTCTATGCCACTTGTATTACTGTCCTTTAATCCTGATGACGACACAAAGTCGTGGATATTTTCTTCGATAGAATCTTCCATGATAAATCGGTGTACAGTTGTTTGTCTACAAATAAATTAATGTAAACATTAAAAGCAACAATGTCATCCAAGCTATCTTCTACAAAATATTTTGTTGTTTTGAGAAAGAATACTTTTATGACGACATAGCAGGGTATCACTACATTACCTGGTTTGTCCAATACGATGCACACGTCCAATTGCTTGTAATTCCTCGCCAGGATTAAGAATAGGCTCAACCAGAAAAACATGATTGGCCTCAACTAAATTTAGACCTTTGGATCCCTTAATGAAAGGCATAAGCAAGCAGGTTATATTGAGGCTTGGATTCTAAAATGATATTCTTTAAAATTTTGTTAAAAACGAAATCTTGCAACAAAAATACCTTGAACTCTTCCAAGGTAAGCGGCGTACATTGTAGACGAAATGTTATGTCATTTTCTTTTAAAGCTGCAGCTATAGCCTGTAGAATTGGTAACCATTGGGAAAATATCAAAACTTTTAAATATTTTTCTTCGCCAGCAGCAACTTCTTGATTTTGCAAACTTAAAATTAATCTCACAATGTAGGTTATTTTCGAGGAATAATTGCCTTTTACCATTTTATTTTCCGGTTTAATAGTCTTGGATTTGCTAATGTAGTAAATGCTAGTAGAGGGCAAACAAAACATTTTTAAAAAACAAATCGCTTTGAAATTTAAGACAAAAAAGAACTTACTCTGAGTTGTGCTGGACATTGCGACATATGGAACATTTAAAGTGACCGCTTCTATTGTATTGTTGCATGGACTTCAAACATGGAAAACATATATGATGGCCACATTCCAAAACAGCATACTAATGTGAAATTCAATTTAATAAATATATCAATTCCACTGTATTGCTGTTGTTATTGATGCTACTTACTCTATCTTCCTCGGAGAGACGACAAATTGGACATGCTCCCAATTCCTTGTTACTTTCCAAATGTTTAATGTATTTCAATCTGGCCAATTTAATGGTAAATTGCCTTTGAACTAACTGTAATTCATTTTGTTGGTCGATAATGCGTTGATCGACTTCGTGTTCGAATATCTTGAATATAGATTTATCATCAGGATCATCTGTCAAAGTTATTCTTAATTTACACATGTCCAATTCATCATAAGCCTTTATGGTAAACTCAATTTCAATCCACAATTTGATTAAACGTTTACACAGACTTTGTAAATTTTCCAAGTACAACCAATTGTTTTCCATGGTTTTTGTCAGATGTATATCGATTTGTTTGTTCTTCAAATAACCAAAGGTAACTGTAAATTAAAAAAGATGAGATATCAGTAATTAAGGTTTAAAAACATTTCGGATTCATACTTTTACACAACTGCATTTCAAGTGAATGATTTTGCATGCCTTCCGTAATGTTGGTGTCCTTGTCAATAACTTTATCAAAGAGCAGGCATTCAAAATTATTTATCAAATCCCGAATTTGACACATTTTACATAGGATTTTCTTTCCTTTGGGCCTCTTTTCTTTTGTCTCCTGTTCCTATAAAATAATAAAAAAAATAATATTAACTAAAAATACGATTAAAGTGCAAAACATACCCGTATTTCACTCAGATGACAATCATAGACACTTTGCAACAGCTGCATTATTTGCGTCCATATTGTTGGACACACCAGATGTCTTGGCTTCACGTTTTCCGTGAAATATGTCAATTCATTGACTTCAATTTGAATTGATTTCATAATTCTATTTAACTTTGCAAACCACAAATCGACAATGTAGAGCAAGGAACGAGAACTTTGAATTTCAGCCAATTTAGGATTGGTTACCCCAAAACGCGGCATACAATCTTCATAGATTTTTTGCAACAATTGGGAGGTGTCATTTATGTGCAGCTGACTAAGGCCTGCGGACATGGTAGCGATAAGCTGTTCGTTTACGGCATTATCACATTTATTAATGACAGCATTGTAGCTTGACATAACATTAGACAACGTATTAGAATAAGTGCCTAAATATTTCCATTCTAAGGAGTTGTATTGCGTTTGATAGATTTCCAGGTCGGCCTTTTTAAAATGTTGCATTCTTTTAATTTCCATTAAATTGTGCAAGGCATGCATCTGCAATAGACTATCTACCCTGTTGCAACAGAAAGAAGACAAAGAATTAATAACAATCAAGCAAAGTTTTATTACATACTTACGTTACACTCATATTTACATATTCGTTGGCCAATTTAAGAACGGAATTGTAGTGTTTTGTAGCATGATCGTATTTCTTTTGTATAATATATAATGCCGCCAAGCCTGTGTGTGTGTGTGTTTTTTATAGAAATGTATATCATAAAAATACACAATAGATATATTTTAAAATGTTTCCATGACACCTACCATTGTGGACGGAAGCCATTGCACGTAATTCGGATTTGCAGCTTAATTCATTAGTTGATTTCAAATACGAGTGCAATTCCTCGGGTTGAAGGAATTGCTTTTGTTGTGATGCCTGGTTTTTGTTGTTATTTGAATTGACCACAACTACAGGCATAGTGCAGGATTGGCGAATTTTCAAAAATGGCATTAATATCTAAATGAAAAATGTATTGCACATTAGCTTTATAATATTATATCGACAGTCATCTGCAACTTACAATTTTCATAATTTGCGGAGATATGGTACTCATGCGACTGGTATACTTGTGGACATTTCCCATAAACATTGTCCGACACTCATCATGTTGTTCATTGTAAAAGAATTTCTCCAAATTATCGAATTGAATGCGATGTACTTGTTGATGTTGTGGTGGAATTTGTAATTCATCAGATATTAGAGATTTCCAGGTGCGCCACATACATTTTTGTAAAATCTTTACCAGTTCCAATGTTTTGTCATCCGTGTGTTTTTCATGTTCAAGAACAAAATTATTAACCAAATAATTCCAAGTATTCGGTTCGGTTACACTATCAAATCCCACAAAATCTAACAGTGGTTGCAAATCGTTTAATGACTTTTGTATAGGAGTTCCAGTCACAGCCCAGTGGTTAATAGCTAGGATATACAAGTATTACAAAGAGATTATGTTCAATGAAGTTCCTACATATCTGAAAAATATTCACCTGGTAACATACGCACCAACGACGCCACATGCGATGCATTCGACTCTACCATTTGGGCTTCATCCAAACAGACTCTGTACCACTCCACCATGAGTGTTGAAGTTTTTAAACGTATGGACCGCGGTTTATTGCGCATTGTACGCTCATTGTGATTTTCATTGGTGAAATATATCTCTCGCGTCAATATGTTATAATCTGTCAAGACTACATCATAATTGGCCAACTGTCTGGGACTTATCCATTTCCCATTACATACACCCTCATATAACAGTACACGCAATGTTGGCTGTATGTGACGTCTTATTTCCGAGAGCCACTGTAGTTTTATGGTATTTGGCGAAACAATGAATGTGGCTTTCGTCTTAACTAGACCATCTTGTGATATGACAGTATTCCAACAGCCGGGACATAGATAAGGTTCGTTAATATCGTCATCATGGTCAGAATTATATTTGGCTACACATTTGATATGTTGCCATAAATTGCATTTTGTACATTGTAGAATTTTGTTTTTCGATTTGGAATTGCATGTGCAGAAAACCTCTTTCTCTATGCGTTTTCTCTTAGACTCCGGCGGTTGAATTTTCAAATCCTTACCTGGATTTACATCTACATCATTCCTTGGATTAAGCAAAATCAAGGCCAACATTTCAACAGTTTTACCCAGGCCCATTTCTTCGGCCAGAATTCCACCTGGAGGTAATGTCAATTGTCCCGGTTCATTCTGCAGTATGTATCGTAGAAAACAATGTTTGTAGACAACAGTCTCATTGTCTTTGGACGTTAGCCTCTGAAAATATGGAGAGAATGTGGAAGGACATCTTTCCTTTGCCAAGAGCCATCGCACACTTCTCATTTGATAGTTGCAAAGTTTAGGCAGAAATTTCTGTGGCAGTATTAATTGCTCACTGTGCTGCAGTTCATCAAAGGACGCATGACATTTTTGCAAAGCTTCAAAGAGTTTTGTGGTAACATATGTCTTCAATATTCGTTGTTCTTCATTTGGGTTGCTAGATTCGTCCTCTTCAGAGGTGACAGCAAGATGAGTTTTGTTGTTGACATTTGTGCCAAACAGAATCTCCAATAACTTGTCAATGGCTTCTGTTGTCTTATTCTTTCTATTTGTATACGAATCGTTACGGTATAGAACCATTAGGTGGTATCCATCATTTGATTCCACAAAATCCAAACCTTTCACTATCCCCTTTTCGGCTATGGCCACAAAGAAAGAGGAATGTGAGTTTTATGTCTGCAGCTGTCTGAGCGTTATTTACATTGCACTTACTCTTTCCTATTATTTGCAATAATGATTCGGACTCATTGTTGAATACATCCAATAATTGCCACGACTTTTGTTTATAAACAAAGTAGTTGTTGTCATTTTCGGCATTGTAGTAAATTTTTGCAATTTTTGATAAGACAACAGCGTCTTCTTCCGTCACTTCCATCATTCTAATGTTTACACTTTTAGCAAGGGTTGCCATGTTTGCGAAAAAATAAGGAAAAACGAAGTTTGACGTGACAGAGGATTTTTGGAAACGAAAATTGGTCCGTTCTAGACGCCATTGACTGAATTTAATGTTAAGGAGATGAGGCTTCTCTTAGAACCACATAAGAAATTGCCTCCTTTGACTAAAACCGCATATTTGTAAGAAATTAGTTGTTTAATAAACGGAAGTTACTGAACTGCTGCACGGTTTCATTCATTTTTTTAAACAATCGTTTTCGTTTGCAATGGTTTTGCACCTTTACACGTTACTAAACAGACGACAATCTTTCAATGTAAAGTAAAAAAATGCCACTGGAAGACAGCCATGGGCTGATGACTACCTTATATTCTCCCCACGATGCGTATTCATAAGTTATAAAACACCAAATCAATCGTGTCTAATTTTCATTTTATTTTACAAAGTAAAAAACGTGATTACTATTTTGGATTTAAGTCTTCATTTACTTAATGGGCTTCATTTTCCACAGACCATCATTGAGGTAGTGACAATTTTCCACACCAACACCTTTGTTGACTTTGGCTCTGTAAGTATTGAAAGATAAATTTTAATTTCAATACAGAACTTGTTTCAGCAATAAATCCAAAACACTTACATATCGTCGGTAGACAAAGTTGTTATACCAATTGCCAAAGCATGTTCCTTGCCCTCAGCCATTATGGCAACGACAGTGTTCTTTTCTGCTGGCGTCATCATTGCACCGGGTGATGTTAGTCCCGGACACATTATATTTGCACCACTGAGGACAAAACGGATGGCACCTTTATCAACTTGTTGCATATTAACAAAATAGGGAAATTTGTGCAATAACTTGAGGGTCGGCATCCATTGACCTTCACGATGCCTGAAGAAGATTTGTTCACCTGCACCATTTAATAGAATTTCGATATGATCATGGCTGTAAGAAATCACACATATTTATTGGGTTAGAGGTGTGGAAATTAATATTAAGACAATTCAAAATATAATATATATAAATATATCCGGAATGACTCGATAAGATTATCTGTCATTAAGAACACCAAATTGCGTTAGTGTTTTTAAAGAATGGACAAATAGTTTTACATTATCCTTTATCACCCGGATAAAGTAGATAGCACAAAATATATTGGAAACACCCTGATGTCATTTTTAATTGGAATAGTAGATGGCAATATAAATGAATTAAATATTTGCCAATTCATTTCTACGATGAGTTCTTCCTCCCTCCAATTGGAAAGGGAGAAACTTTACTGACCCGAATACACCAATTGAAGTATTTGTAAAATGTTCAGCTCTTTTTCCCTAATTTAGGAAAGTGTTTTATGTATATTTACCATTTCGCGATGCGGTAGCTGTCTTTTTTGGGCAAGATCAGATCAATATGTGTCTCCAAATGTGGATAAGTTTCCAGTAACTTGGCTCGTATACCCTTTTGAACAGATGACTTCAGTTGCTGCACCGACGACAGACTTTCTTTTTCTTCAAACCTACAATTAGATCATTTATTAGTTATGGTAATAATTAGATACTTGTTTACAGTACTTTTTGAACATTTCAGAGAAATTTTATTTTTTTGCAAACTTTTTTTGTGTTAAGCGTGTGTCTTGCATATAGAAAACAACAACACACTCCTGTCACAATGCCGGGAGCCAAACGTAATTGCGGCGTCTAATATATATACACCGGCTTCGTGGCAAAGTAAAAACAGCTGATTGATTGCCAACTTCACGTTAAAACTGCACTGGTAATTATAGGGGTTAGTTATTCTTTTCCAAAGAATAATTTATAGCATGCAACATTTTAAACAGAACATAAAAATTTAAAAAATAAAAATAAAAAATAAAGTTAAAAATTCCAACATTTTTAAACGACAAATTTCTATTGAAATAATTAGATTAAAATAAATCAACAAAAATCACCGCGGTAGATGGGTGTAAACTCAATTTGCTCGGAAATATATTTTTGACAGCTTGATCATGATCAGCTGGACATAAACATCGCTTTCATTTCATTTATATTGGCATCCAAACAGTGGTACCAAAAAGGTTGGCTTGTAAAAGTTTTAAATTTGGTTGTCGGAGTGGCTTTATTACGTTTTTAATTATTTTTAGAACATTAAAGTCATTTTAATCAATGCAAATAACCAATAACAAGTTTATGCCAAACCACCGCCTCATTTGTCAATGCCCAAAGTGCAAAATGATTTTGTGTTGTTGTAGAAATCCATCTGATTATTCGCACAGCTAGTTTGCTTCTACGCACTGTAGAGTAGTAGAACATAAAATATTGTTTTATTTTTATTTTATAATAAAAAATGCTATTACGAAACATAGCTGGTACATTACTGAGGCCCAATTACAAATGGCCAACCTCTAGGCATTTTCATAGTTTATTAGATATTCATCCGAATATTAGAAATGCCCTTAACCAAAAAAAGCCGGTAGTAGCATTGGAATCAACAATAATCACCCACGGCATGCCGTATCCTCATAATATGGAAACTGCTTTGGAGGTAGAAGATGTGGTTAAAACGGTGGGTGCTACTCCCGCCACTATTGCCTGTTTAGATGGACGACTTAAGGTTGGCCTAACAATGGAGGAGATAGCTAAACTTGCAGAGGTTGAAAAAGCTGACGTGTTAAAATGCTCTCGCCGAGATCTGCCCTACGTAGTGGCCAATGGTAAATGTGCTGGCACCACAGTGGCTGCTACAATGATAATTGCACACATGGCTGGCATTAAAATTTTCGCAACAGGCGGTGTGGGTGGTGTTCATCGCGATGGTCACATATCATTGGATGTATCTGCCGATTTAGTTGAATTGGGCAGAACTCCAGTCGTTGTTGTTAGTAGTGGAGTAAAATCCATTCTGGATATTCCACGAACTTTGGAATATCTTGAAACTCAAGGGGTATCAGTGGCTGCCTACAATAATGAGGGTAAATTTCCAGATTTCTATACCAGGGACAGTGGTTGCAAAGCTCCTTATAACTTGAAGGGACCACAGGATGCAGCTGCTCTCATTAAAGCCTTGCAAGATTTAAATTTACAATCAGGAATGTTGATAGGTGTGCCAATTCCCGAAGACTACGCCCTTGATAAAGACATGGTCAGAAAGGCAATCGATGAAGCTCACAAGGAAGCGTTGGCCAAAGGTGTAGAGGGTAAAAACGTTACCCCATTCATGTTGGCTGCAGTAGCCAATATTACAAAAGGCAATAGCCTGAGAGCAAATATTGCCCTGATTAAAAATAACGCAAAGGTGGCTGCCGAGATCGCATGCGAACTGAGTGGCGGAGATGGGAATAAACCATGTTTGAATAGTCCAAGGAAACAACCACCGCCCATGATTATCGGTGCATCAATGCTGGACCTGTGTTCAACGATGATCGATGATAGCCCACTTGCTTTGGATGGAGCTACATATCAAACCAAAGTAAAGGAGTCGGCAGGTGGCGTTGGGCGCAACTTAGCCGAAAGTATACATAAATTACATGGCGACGCCAGTTTTATATCTGTCGTTGGCAATGACCACACAGGCAAAAGTCTGTTGCAGCTGATGCCTGACTCCTTGTGCAGCAAGATACACGTTGATAGTAAAAACACTACATCAATCTGTTCCATTTTATTTGATAAAAATGGAAATTGTAAATTATGTTTGGCCAACATGGATATCCATAAGACTATTTCGGGAAAATTAGTAGAACAACATGAACAAGATTTTCAAAAGTCTCCTCTGATAATTATAGACGGTAATCTCTCCGTGGAAGCAATAGATTCAATATTAACGTTAGCTAAACGCCACAATAAACCTGTGTTTTTCGAACCAACCGACATGCTTATTGCCGGCAAACCTTTCCAACTGAGCCAACAACAATTCCGACAAATCAAATGTATTTCTCCCAATGTATACGAATTGAAAACAATTGTGGAAACTTTGTGTTCCAAAAAAATAGAATGGGACCCAAATAGTTCATTAGCAGCTGGTCAGGAGCAATTAATACGTGATTGTACGAATTTGTTAAAGCAGATTGAGGATCACTTTGATTGTATTGTCGTAACACTCGGCTCCCATGGCGTATTGGTTAATATTCGGGGTGAATCTTTTCAACATAGATTTTTCAATAGTGACTCGGAGCACTATACCCCGCCCCAGGAAAAAACACATATGCGTCGGTTTTACAAGGCCCCCGTTGTTGCTGATATCGTAAATGTTTCTGGTGCTGGCGACAGTTTCTCTGGCGGTTTCATTACGGGACTTTTGCGTGGTTACACTGTGGATGAATGTATAGCATTTGGTTTTGTTGCCGCAACATGCGCACTGAAATCTGAATCCGCCGTTCCAACACAATATTTCAAGAGTACAGAGGATGAAAATCAAAGGCAAAAACAACAGCTTTGTGATTTAGTATTTTTGGATGTTTAATATTATAAAAATATTAATTGTTATGCATTTTTTTAAAAACTAAAGCATTCTATAAACAGTGTGTTCGCAGATAGCATTTCTATATATAGTTAATAAGCCCACCTGTAAATAGAAAAGTTAAAAAAATAAATTTAAATTTTTATATGGAAATAGATTTCTTGTTATATGAATTACTTACAATTTTACAACTTTATCTTTTCCACCAGATGCCACTTTAGAACCGTCTGGTGCCCAGTCTACAGCAAAGACTTCATCTGCGTGACCGGGAAGTTCTTGTGCCAGTTTCTTGGTTTGCACACTCCAAACTGAAATTCACATACACATGTAAAAAATTTAAATCTTATATGCAAATGTCTACACTTGCCTTTTAATGTCGAGTCCTTACTTCCACTAAGAAGTAATCTAGAATCTGCAGACCACGCTAGAGTATAGACCGCTTGAACATGGCCACGAAAAGTGTTTAAGAATTGTCCATCTTTGGCTCGCCACAAACGTACAGATTTGTCAAAGGAAGCTGACGCTATCAGTTTCACGTCTGGTGAATACTTAACATCATTCACAACATTTTGATGACCAGTCATACGTTGTACACATTTATTCTGATTTGCTACCCACAGGTACAAAGTAAAGTCATCGGAACAAGAAACTAAGGATTCAATATCGTCAGGGCAAACTTTTTTGTAACGTTGCAAAGCCATTTCTTGTAACTCTTCCTCTGTAAAATGAAAAGAGTACGAGTGAAAATTGGAAACAATTTTATATTTCTTGTCGGTACAAACTTTTTATATCGCAATATCTCTTGTTACGATCCTGAACTGGATGGAAGGGTCCTGTTCGCAGAACATAGTCCGTATTGAGGGCAATGTTATTAACCCAGTGGGCATGGCCAGTAAATGTACGACAAATAACACCGTCGGCGGCTCGCCAAATTTTTACTGTTCTATCTTTGGATGATGTATAAATTAAACCAGCTCCACCCCAGCGCACAGCAGTAACTGCTGATGTGTGACCTACGAGAGTTTGAATAAATTAGTGGTACCAAATTTGTTGTCTGTTATGAAGATTTGAGCTTACCCGATATTACCATACAACATTGTCCCAAAACGGTATCCCAAATTCGACAATCACCATCACTGCTGGCACTCGCAATTTTACGGCAGTCGGGATTTTTGTGATATGGCTCCCAGCTTAAACAATTAACCCATTTCTTGTGGCCCGTTAGTGTGCGACCCAGTTGTTTTCCTGTCTCAGGGTCCCATAACATTATATTGCCAGATTTGCAGGCACTTGCCAATTTCTTGCCATCGGGAGACCATGCCAAACACATAACCCATTGTTTGTGACCACTGCATGTAAAATGTGGAGTTTCTGTGTTAAGATCCCATAGTCGCACAGTAGTATCACCTGAGCCACTGGCCAAGTGTGTGCCATCAGGGCTGAAGCTTATAGAAATAACAGCCTCAGCATGTCCAGGCATAGAACTTGTACATCTTGTCACCGGGCGAACTTTAAATACCGACTGTGGTTGATAAACAATGCTTATAACATTTTCCGTGTCGATGGTCTTAAGGTCCAGTGTTGAATCCAATGTCTTTTTAATTTCATCATCTCCAACAAAGAATATGTACGGTGTGGTTTCTTCATTTTTCAGCAATGCATTGCAAATCAAGCCCAATTGTTCAACAGTTACGCCAGCTGGTAGATCTATAGGAGGTCCCGCCTCTTCTCCCGTATCCGAAACAAATCTGGCCTGCACAGTTTCTGTAACATGATCGCCTTCCACATCATTGGAATCTTCTTCGTTTAATTTAATTCTTTTCGACATTGTAACAAACTCTTCTAACACAACAAACGTAAACACACGTGCCGTGCAGTAGGGGTACCTAGGTTGACTTTGGACTGAGTGATGAGAACATAACGTAAACAAACGGAGAGTTGCCAACTACTCTATTGTCAAAAGGGATGTTCGCATTATAAGATTAAGGTAAAATAGATAAAATTTAAAAAATTAACATGAATAACCTATCTGACAGACCTAAAAGCCCAATAAGACAAAGACTTAAATCATTCATGAATGAAAATTGTTAAATGAAAGATAAAATAAATCTTTGGAGATAAAACAACAATTTATTTTATTATTATTAATGCTAATTTTATGTACTTTTGTACAACTTCCTATAAAAATCAACAAAAAATTATGTTTAACATGTAACATATATTATTATGTTACTATGAATTACGCATCGTGTCGGTTGAACGGGTTAATTCATGTATGTAATTTTGAGAGCGAACAATGTGATTGAAATTGCAATGAGAATATAGCATAAGTCGAACAATCGACCATGAATAGTCGAGTACTCGGTTTTCACCCAAATCCGTAGTCGAGTTCGAGTTCCAGAATTTTGAGTACTCAAAGTCGATTATTCTATTAATCGAAATTCGACTTACCTATCCCTAGTTTTTTGTTTGTAATTTCCAAAGAGAGCGAACGACGCGATGGAAGAGTGCGTAGCTGAAAGTTTAAGCAGAGAAGAAATTCTTAAAATCCTGGAACAGGTAAGTGTTATATATCCGTATTAATTAACAGAAGATAAGACAAATTTTTGCATAATAGCGTCGCATTCAATTGGACGGCATGTATATTATGCCGCATGCAGAGCTGGTGCGTGTTTACAGCGCCTTTGCTATGCCCCTGGCACAGAGGCAACCGAGACATCATTCTCACAGGCACCGATGCAATGGAAATAATTCGAGGCAGGATGATGAACCAATGCCGGTAGATAGCAATGGTTACGCAAAAATGGATATAGACATTATCTGTACCGAAAAAATTGAAAAAGTGCCTAAGGCTGAGAAACGGAGAACACACCAAGAAGCTTTGATAGACGATTACCAATATCTTAGCAGAGCAACAAAGCGCATCAAAATATGTGTTAGTCCAGAACTTCATATTCCGTAAGTACAGTAATTTTGGATGTGGTACAATCATTAAAGCCTTTATAAGCATAAAGAAAAACAGGATGCAAATCTGAATAGTACATAGGTCACTTCATAAATTATAATTGGTTGCCTTGAAAATAGGGGCACATGCTTAAGGATTATTGAGTGCCCTAAACATAATTCTTAGACCTATGTAATTTGAACTGATATGTTTAAAATCCGTCATGTGGTGTCATTTTGTATCATATCATATCAAGCCAAGTTAGTTGTCAATAAAATATATTTTTAATGCCCTCAAACGCATTAAGGGATTTGCCCCTTTTAATGTCATATCCCTAATAATTTCTGTAAAATGTTGACAGTAGTTGGCTTTGAATTAGAATTAGGCTAGTTCATCTACTGTTGTATGGTTCAAATGTTTGAACAAATAAGGAAAGATATTGGATTCCGCTTCTTCGATAAGGTCCCCTAATTTTGTTCTCTCTACCCGCTTAGAACCATCCGTATAACTAAAATTTACAGAAGTCATCAGTCACCATTAAAAATTATGGCTTTTGACTTTAATGCAGTATTTTTTATCTCACCCTGTGTTTATGAGTTTTTCAACAATTACAAATAAAACTAAAATATTCTCCTATTTCAGATGACATTGGCTGAAACACCTGATGTGAATGGAATTGGAAAAAGAACCAACTGGGTCTTGAAACATTTAACATGGTTCCATTGTTTAGCATGCATGACATATTATTGATGATTGTGAGACTTCGCACAGGTTTGTGCTCACATCAGAGAGAGAATAAGGTCTGATGCAAGACCTCGACAAATTCAACTTACCGTCTTTAATAAAGAATATACATTAAATAAAAAACGGATGATTTATTTTAAATATTTGAAATGATTTTATTCGCATATATTGTTAAATTTTAGAGTTATTTCTCAGTTTTTTTTTTTTTTTTTTTTTTGGTTTTTATTTCACTTATTAAATACGTACATAAATACATTAAAAAAATATAACAAAAAGGTACACACCTTTGGTCGCACATCAATTTGTTTGCTTTTTGTGTGAGACCATTTAATAATAATCAATATATATTATTGTATATTTACGACAAAACAAAATGTGACTTGAACTTTACATAAACCCTTTGTATTTCACTTTGCTTTCGTTTGTTTTCAAATAAAGAAAATATTTTGGTATCTCTAAACAAATTCTTAGTTTGTTTGTTAGTTCAATACTTCTCTTATATATTCGTACAATTGTTAAATTTCAACAATATTTCGATTTATCTAAGATTTCTTCGCTATTGTATGTATATATTTGTTTTTTGCTTTTGATGTTTTCATTGTGTTCTTCTCTCCACATTCACACACATACGTACATTATATACTAGATTTGCTTAAATTTGTAAATATGAAAAAAATATTCATTTATAATATATATAACAAATTTCTCTAAATATTAGTTGTACTACTTTAATAAGTTTTGTTTTATTTTCGTACCATTCGTTTTCGGTTTCTGCGAAACTCGTTTCATGCGAATTGCAATCGAAACTTAATTTGGTCAAAAGCCCGGTTCAATTTAAATTAATGAGACCCAGCAGACTTTTGAAGAAAAATAAAAATATTTTTTTTCCAGTGGTAGGTATTAAAACCGGATTCCGGGATACTTTTTTTTTGACACGATAGTCCGGGTCCAAGATCCGGGCTAAATCCGGACCCACTTACCCAATACATTATGAAGGGGTTGTTTAAAAAGGTTCAGAAGTTATAGTCAAATTATGGATTTTTATAAAATCCCCAAAAAGTCGAAAAAGGCCCCATTATAGGGGTTAACAAAATGTATGCCAAATTATAGCTGTCACTCTTAACTTTCCAAAATGCTACAATTTGTACTAATACCTTTATTTTTTTTCCAGTGGTAGGTATTAAAACCGGATTCCGGGATACTTTTTTTTGACACGATAGTCCGGGTCCAAGATCCGGGCTAAATCCGGACCCACTTACCCAATATATTATGAAGGGGTTGTTTAAAAAGGTTATAGTCAAATTATGGATTTTTATAAAATCCCCAAAAAGTCGAAAAAGGCCCCATTATGGGGGTTAACAAAATGTATGCCAAATAATAGCTGTCACTCTTAACTTTCCAAAATGCTACAATTTGTGCTAAAACCTTTTCTGGGTCCAGAGATATTCTTTTCTGGGTATGTTCAACCGGCTACGCGAACTAAAGTTTTTTAAATTTTACTGTTGTAAGTAGCCGTCATTCGGCCCCATAATGTGGATTGGTATTTTCTTAAGCAATAAAGATATAGCCTACAACGGGTAAGTAGATCCGGGTCAAGCACGGGTCTTGAACCCGTACTCAAAAATCTGTGGAATTATTTAAATAGTTTCCCGGACTCAAAATACCTACCTCTGGAAAAAATGGAAGAGATTTTACTAGTAGACCAGTGTCGGAAATGACTTCAATATTTCAAAATTATTTTGCTGTTGTTATTTTCATGGTCAAATGTCAAATACCAAATGGTTAAAATATCAACGTCGACTAAAAATACAATGTCGTCACAATTTTTTTACGGCGATAGATATTCTCTAGAAACGACTTCAAGTCGACAGTTGTATCGACAATGATAATAGCAATCATTCGTCGCTATCGACAAAAAATGACAACCCTAATATCGTTGTTGTCGCCTCGACTTCATTTTGCGACGACAACCGTAATAGTGCCGAATAACAATGAAATTATTATTTGGTTACCAAAGCCTAATATTTGACTAACATTAGTAAGGTTTGCCGGATTGCCACATTTGAAGTGTAGAAATTTAAAAATGACTCTCAGTATTCATCTTAGGAAATTAACGCATGGTAGTTTTTTTTCAGAATTTCCCCCTCCGCTAGAATGGAATTCCTTTAAACCTTCAATATTGAGAAATATTCTTTCGTATTGTCGTATGTGTGTGTGTGCATGGGCTTATTAAAGTAGTACAACACTATTCGTTGAATAATAAAAAGTAAAGTCCTTAAACACTAATAATACTCAAAATAATCTCAAAGTCTAAACTTACGGGGTCGACGAGCACTATTCTTTAATATCAGTAGTGTTTTTTTCTTGCGTACTCATACGGCCGTTTCAGTATCAGTCTCGTCTATGCGTCCCAAACGCCATGAGTTTGGATCCCCTACTGTAAAAATCAAAAAGAATACAAACACATTTGCATATTTTATGTGAGTCAATCGAAATTTCAAAAAACAAAAAACGAAAATAAATGAATTACACATTTTTAGAACAACAACATCCATGCATATAAAAAATTAATAAGCAAAAGTGAACTGAAAAATAATAAAGACTCAGAAGAAAAATTAACATAAAAAAATGCAAAATTTTCACATACATACACACATTTCACATATATATTTTACATGGATTACATTAAACAATAAAAGTTGGGGTGAAAATGGTTTCAACTTAAGAATACATATATATAACATTCATACTTACCACTTTCATAGTACCTTGATATCCGTGGGAGGGCTATTTCACAATTGATTGTATAAAACGGAAATAAACGAAAATTACAACTCTCCAAAGAAAATTAATTTGTTTTTTTTTTCATGAAATTATAATTTTTTAGGTTTGGAATTTTTGTTTCTGTGAACTCTGGACTTTGGGTGGGAGGGAGTGGCTGTGTGGTGTATATAAATGTTGTATGTATGACATGGATATCGATCGTGTTGATGAAATAAATTATAACGTTGAATAAAAAATTATTGATTTTTCATCAGTTTATACAAATGTTCTGAAATTTGCTTATTGTTATTAAATATATGTATTGGTATAATTAATTTCTTAGCTCAATTCAAATTGTTCCATTGTGGGAAAATTTTCACTATTACTAACAGGTCAATCCTGCCAAGAAATGCAGAGTTGTTATGTATTTTTGAAACTTAAATTTACAATTTTCCAATATTAGAGTTTAATAAGATCTGAATGTTCTTTATTCCTCATATATTTCCTCCCTACTCATATATTGCAATGTGTGGATAAGCTAGTATGTCTGTCCCAGAAACTGCAACTTAGTGCTAACCATGGTACAGACAAGGTAGGCTAAGTTAGAGAATATTGCACGTTAAGAGACCTACCTGCATGGATTGTTATGTCAGAATTACTATCAAAACATATGCAACAATTGCTTTTTTTCAAATAAACTTCTTGCATGGATTTTGAAGAAATTTGACAAAAAAAGCGAACACTAAATGTAAGGTCAAGATTTTTTTTCAAAATCATGTTCTCTATATCTGTAAAGATTTGTTTCTTTACAAAAAAAGGAACATTTTGATTACAACCGAATTTGAATATTTTTTAACAATTTTCCTTTAGTTGCAAATTTGACACAACTAAAGCCGTCATGTTAAGCCAAGAGAATATAAAAAAATGCCCTACATTGATTTCATTGCACCATGGTACTAACTTGTAATATTTTCTTCGATATTATGGAAAAAATCGGTTGTTGTTGTAAATGTTGTAAAATAAAATAGAAGTGGGAAATAGGGCACAAGTCAACATTTTAAATCGGGTTGCAAAAGTGCAGCCGCATACGATAAGTAATGATTACGATTCCATTATTTAATAAATCCACATCAATAAATCAAAAAGTATTAGCCCATTTGCAATCTTGTATACAGGGTGAGATGAAAAAACTGCAACCAACTTCAGGCTGCTAGCATTTCTAAGCCACTCGTCCGACAGCTGTAAAAATTATTCCAGTGACAGCTCATTATATTGTTTACAAGCATACAAATTTGATGAAATTTTTCCAGAAAGAAAGTTATTCGTGATGGAATTGAAGCGTGGAAGTGTGATTTCTTTATATTTGGCTGGAAAACCACAAGTGGCTATCGTTAGAGCACTCCAGCATTTTAATGTTAATAAAAGAGCTAAAGACTTGCTTCGCTTGGCCGAAAGTGGTGAACTGCCGAATTTGGTTTTCTCCGATGAGAAAACATTCGCGTTTATTTGCCAAAGAGGTCAGCTGAAAATGTGCACCTTCTTACCACTACCAAAACTCAAGCCCCGGCCATGGTGATGGTGTGGGCCGCCATAATAGCCGATGATCGCTCTCCGCTCGTATTTGTGGAGCGTGGCATCAGAATAAATGCCGAATGTTAACGCGAAATTATTCTCAAATAAGAGCTTCGCCGGGAATGGGCCAAAATACCGCAGAGCAACATTCGGGCAACGTGTGACGGTTTCATTGGCCGTTTGAAGATCATAATTCGTGCCAAAGGTTACCAATTCGAACAGATCTAAACTTATTCCAAAATTTAATGCTTTTTCCGACATTTTCATAATGATAAAAAAAATAAAATTAAAAAAAATGTAAAAATTATGGCGTTTTGACTTTGTTGCAGTTTTTTTATCTCACCCTCTAAAACTTTTCGAAATCATGTGTCATCGAATGTCTACAAACATTAATTTTCGCTCTGATAAAAATGTATGGTTTTCCAATGTAGATTCCTATTCTGCATTGTAATCTAGTAATCCCCTGGAAAACATATACATGTTAACCATGTCGTGGACATGGAAATAAATAAAAAAAAAAAAACAAAACATACAATATATTAATAATTTTTTTTGTTAAGTTACGAATTTATTTTTTACTATACAGAGATGTAATATACTAGAAATTGAGAAATATTTATATACATAGAAATACATATACGAATTTTAATATCAAGAATATTAATTGCATCAATACATTGAAATAAGAGTACGTATTACTCTCATTGTTGCCAATTGTTAAGATTTTCTATATTTTTTAAAGCAGTTGTTTTTTATTGGTTCCTGTTTTCATTAACTGGGTATATTCTTACGGTGGATTACGGTCAACAGAAAAAAGTATTGACCCACAAAATTTTGCGATTTAGATTACATATAACTATCTGTTAAATAAATGATGTCTATTCTGGTGAGCGAACATATGGGATGCATCAAAAATTATTGACATGTGATGGCACCAATAAATTTAATTTGAGACCTTATAATAGTATTTTTTTGCACAGTTTATATATTTCCGATAAACCATATTTACAAAAGGCTAAAATCGCAACTTAATAACAAATTTTCCACACGAAAGCGCACATAAAGTCAATTCATTTCACCAGTTTCCGGTGTAGTCACCACCGACCACTCTTCAGTGGTTCATATCACAGGTGCTTCGGAAAGCACTCCTTATGATCTCTAAATGTGACACAGAATTTCGTTTTAATGGAACTCCATTCAAGAAGATCGGTTTAACAACTTAATGCTGCAGCTCATCCTTTGAATACTTGCCGGTGTATAAGGACTAAAAAATGGCTCGCGAGCTGAACATATCGCAATATTCCATTCGGCAAATATTGAAAAATGAGCTCGGAATTAAGCCATTGAAATTCTAAAAAGTGCAAGAACTTACACCGCAACAGAAAGAAAATAGACTCAAAAGAGCTTGGCCAAAAGTGGTGAACTGACGAATTTGGTTTTCTCCGATAAGAAAACATTCGTTGTCTAGAAGTTTATAAACAAACAAAATGATCGTGTTTTCTTGCCAAAGACGTCAGCTGAAAATGTGTTATTTTTGCTTTCATTCAATAACATTTAAAAAAAAGTAAAAGTTATGGCATTTGGCTCTGTTGCAGTTTTTTTTATCTCATCCTGTGTATTCTTTTCCGATTATATCAATCTTGATATTTGGAATTTGAAGAAATTTTCCGAAAACTTTTTCTGCTGTCGTATAAAGGACGATCTAAAACGTTATCCATTGTATTGATGTTGAATCCGCTTTGCATGATTTGTAATATCTCAGTAGCTAGTAAGTGTCGCGATAAGCTTCGAAATGTTTCGTGAATATAGGATATCCATGGATGCCGTACCTTTGTTGTTGTATTAAAGCAAATTCACTTTTGCTTTTTTACAACACGTCTTCTTCACGATATATTCACAATTATATCAAAATGTTTGCACTAGTTTAACTTCATTTCTATTCGGTATATTTACGCTTTAGTGTTTCACTATTCACTGTCACTGGGAATCTTTCGCCTTTTATATCACATCCCCATACCCTTGTAAATAGTTTCTCACTCTGTAAAAAAGTTCCACAATTTTTTTGGATGCAGTTCCTTTGTAAATGATTAGTGATATCTAGGTCTTAACTGTATGAGCTGTTTTCTTACGTTGGCAAGATAATGCCGCTACTATTCCTATTTGAAAAATTTCTAAATGGCCTTTCTCTAATTATGTTCTTTTTAAACTTTTAATAAATTAAACAAAAAAAGTAAAAACTAATGATGGGCAATTAAGATTTGCTATTAGAGACAACGTCCGTGTCTTTATCATGTTATACATTCTTATTTGGTTGGGTTTTCTTCTTCGTCTATTCATGGTTACACAACTAAATGTAATTTATATAATTCGTTAGGTTTTGTTTTTTTTTTATAGTATGTTAATGTACAATTAATATAATTATATAATCTAAATATGTAGAGATACGTCTAGGTTAAATAGCGTTTATTTGCTAATTATTAAATTTGGTATATCTGGTGGAGCAGAGGAATTCTCAGCTGAGCAGGTATTGTCGTCGTTGTCGCTCATTAGGTCTGTAATTGGCTTTAACAACTGAAAGGGGGGTTTGGTTGTGTATGTACGGCCCAAAAGAGGCACATGCTCCTCTAAAATAGAATTTAAACACAAAAGAAATAATTGTACAATCAAAACAAGGTAAACAAAAAATACACGAAAATTACACAAATTATATACTAACTATTTTATATATAAACAAATTATTTTAATTATTTTTGTTACTGTTGCATGCAAACATTTCAAGAAGGAAAAAAAAATAATAATAAAAACAAATAAGTTGAATTTATTGGATAAAATGAAAATGATATTTGACAATTCGTAAAACACACTGCTGCGACAACAAGCACTAAAAGCCAATGATCTTTTTTTTTATTAAATAACAAAATTACAACAAAATGAAAAAATACTGGTAATTGATGAGAGAATGTATGAAATGCTTTCTCTATACAAGTGTTAAACTACTCGAATCGGTTCCAAAAGAATATCTATGTATAACAATTAAGTGAATTGGTCTTTTCTAAATTACCTTGTAATTGTCGATTTATTAAAGCTGTTAAACTGTGTCCTTCGGCACTCTTTTTTAATATCAGCATGGGTTTGTCTTCTGCATCGTCGTAACTACCCGATGGCAGAAATCCATTACTGGCAATTGACTCGCTAACCTGTGGGAGTAAAAGAAGTATTCGTGGAAATAATTTATTAACGAAAAAGAAATTAGGTAAATTCATGTTACTCGTTCTTTTACAGAAAACTTAAAACTTGGGTCTAAACTTAAAACGGAGTCTATAGATAGTAACTGCTTCTCCCCACATGTCAATAATTAACTTGGTAACTTTCACTTAAACTCACCTGTGTTACTTGCATAAGCTTCTTGACCACATCACGTCCCAGTATATGGTCAAAAACTGTTTGCAGAAATGGTTCAGACATTATGGACAATTTTAATTTGTCCCGATGCCATATTAACACCCTTGATTCTTCCATGGCCATTATAGAAACCTGTTGGGGAAAAGTGGGGCAACAAGTAAAATGACTGATGATGCGAGGCTATAAAGTAAAATTATTTACCTGAAAGTAATCATCTGTTGATACACCGAACCATTCTGGAGAATCTAGGAACTGATGCGGAAACACAATGTGCAGTGCTCTTTGATTCTGTGACACTACCAATCTAAAAAGGCAAATAAATAATTATGGTATTAGAAATTTGGGTGTGCGTGTGTGTGGATATATGATAGCTTACTTTCCCGACAGCACTAGCGACAGACTGTCCACTTTTGTGACTTTCTCCTGTGCATAGACTTCTTGATATTTTAAAGCTCTTATAATTTTCATACAGTTTAAAACTTTTTTAAATTGATGCCTAGATACATGTAGTGGTTTAAAGAGAGCCTCATAGACCTGTAAATAGAAGAAAATACAAACAAATAGTTATTAACATGGTTATTTTATGACTTTTATCAAACAAATAGTTATTAACATTGTTCTTTTATGACTTTTATCGTTAAAACATGTTTGTCTGTGGTAACGATTGTCTATCTATCCGTTATCCGAAATGACTCCGGAGATAATACAAGTCAAATTGTATTAAATATGACAACTACTAAATTCGAAGCATACTTTCAGGCGCAATATATTTCAGGCAGCAAGTGCTGCGTGAATCATCTAAGATCGGATTTTAAATCATTGGCGAAACAGCAATTAAGAAACAAGTAAAAAAAAGCAGTAAGTTCGACTGGGCCGAACTTTTAATACCCTCCAACATTTGGAAGGAATTTGCAATTTTTTCAAAAAGAAAAAAATCCGTGGAAAAATACTGCTAAATCATAAAAATATCGAATATAGGGAGTTACAGTCATATTAGAGCCGGTCTACGAACACGGGGACCTGCATAGGCAATAGACAATTTTTTGTCACATATGGTAGCATTTGTTAGGAACTTCAAATAAGAAATTTGATACATTTCCGAAAAATAATTTCGCTAAAATAATCGAAATACCGAATATAGGGGAGCTATACGAAAACCTGGACCTGCATATGAAATTTTCTGTCACAGGAACTTCAAATAGTAAATTTGAAACATTTCGGGTGAAAAGCGTGACACAAATCATCAAAATACCGAATATTTGGAGATACAGTTATATAAGGCCTATATCAAAACTTAGACCTACATTGACAGTTCTATGCAAGGATGTTTCTTACATAATGGAAACATATGCTGCCAATTTACAACAAATTTGGGGTAACACTGTAACAGCTGCCAAAAACATAGCGGCTAGCAAAATAGGTAGCACTCCATACCCTGGCGTCTCCGTAAGAATGTTTGTGGCATAGAAAGGGAGGTCTAATAATATAAGGTCATAACGATATAATCCCAGAGGCCGATTATTTCGATATAGCGCGACACAATTACTTATTCTCATGACCGCGATATATCAAGTAACTCGAAAAAAATATCTTTGTCGTGTCGTTATATATAAAAGTTGGTCGAGCTCGTGGTTCATACGCCGCACTTTCCACTCAGCACATATCAAGTGCTTCCTATTCTGCTCTATAAGTAGTAACTACCCATGCTTCGTATCAGGGTCTTGTGGAGTGTAGTTTCTTTTGGTGAGTGGAGGTTTTACAACTGACGTATAGTTACGACTAGTCTACGGTGAAAGTTTTAGGCAGTACATTGAAAGGGTCCAACTACTTCATTGAGCGAACAATAAGCAAGACAGAACTTTATGTACCGTCTTGCTTCCTTACTTATGCCCGGATGGTGTTCACAGCTGATGCATGTTCTTTATCTACATGTACCCCACGGTCAACATCGAAACACATGCCCTAACGCCGTGGCTATATTAGTTTTTTATTGCAGAATATTTATATAAACCTACCTATACAGTGGGGGAAGAGGGGAAATGATAGGCTGTTTTTTTTAATAAGCACGCCCATGACTGGCAACAACACAAAATACGTATTTGGAAGTTGTTTTCATAAAAACACTTCCATTTAAGAAGAGAATTGTTGTTTATTTTCCCCCTTTCATGATAACAATGTGCAATAAATGTAATGTTTACCCCAAGTCAAGTGTTGTTCACTTCCAGGTACAGTGACTCGAAAAAGTTTTTCAGTTGATAGGTTTTGAGAATGAAAATTATTGGTAAATGTATTTTTTGTTTATAAAAAATGTATGTGATTTAAGGACGTGGTTTTTATTTATTTATTATTCTTGGAGCATGTCTCAAAAATATTCAGTATTTTTTCCAAATCTCCAAAAAACTCCCTCGAATTTGAGTACTCTCTCTCGAAAACGGCAGGAGCACTCCTGAAAGTGGAATAAAAAAGAGCGCTCGAATGAGGGTGAGGGTACTTTGCTCCTTTTAGAGTGGGAGCAAAATTCGTTCGAAAACGAGCAGATTCTACTCTTGCCGAGCACTCTTTTACAAAAAAAAAATGGTTTTCAATTTCGAGCGATTTTGTTTACGCCGTAATTTTTTAAAATGTAGTGGCAAAGGAAAGAGCTAAGAGTAAACTCCATATAAAACTCTTACACTGCAATCCCGCTCACAAACAAGTTTCACTCCCGAGTAAAAACGAGTTCTGATTTTTTCTCTTCATTGAATAGAGGGGGTACTTGTAACGGCCTAAATGTGTCAATTCGAAATAAACATTATAGGAAATATGTAGCCCTTTCGAGCAATGTTTACTATATAGAATTATCTAAAAATCCAAACAAGGAGTTCCTTCTGAGTACATCACCCCCTGGAAGAGTATTGCCTATATGGGTCCACTATATCGTATATCCCCATAGAACGAAACCTCCCGATATTCGTTATTTTAATGATTAAAACGTTAAAGTAAAAAACGCTGGCCGGGCCGAACTTTTATTACGCTCCACCAATTTGAAGGATCTTGACAAGTTTCCAAACATTTGTTAGACAATCCCATTGAATAATGTGGCTAAATTATTCAATTGAATTGTCTAAAAAATTGTTGGAAATTTGTCAAGATCCTTCAAATTGGTGCAGCGTAATAAAAGTTCGGCCGGCCAGCGTTTTTTACTTGTTTTTATTAAATTTAGATCGTGTTCAAAGTTCAATATTTTCAACAACAAAGGAATATTTTTTAAAGCGAATGGAGTACTCGATGTAGTCCAAACTTGGCGCATATTAATATTTGCAAGAGAATTATGTAAAGTGCGAAATTATTTTCCTTACCTACCCGAAAAAAAAATTCTGATATCTCCTCCAATAAATAAAATTTGTTTAAAAAATATAGACTTGAATTTTGGGGATATACTCGGATTTCAACCACGTGTAGATCTTTTTAACCTGATTACGGCAAAGTTTTTTTTTTTTGTTATGGAAATACCCGGTAATTTGATCAAGACTTTTGGATAAAAAATCCGGGTTTTATCCGGTTCTACAAAACTGAAATGTAAAAAATTTGAAAGAATATGAAATACGTATTTTTGTACCGGAACCTTTTAAAAACCCATAAAAAGTCAAAAAAGGACCCATTATGGGGTTGTAATAACTGCATACTGCATTGTACCCTACACTCTGGCCTTTCCAAAATGGTGCCATATGTATTGATATCTCTTGAAGTTGTTGTAGTATATATTAATATTGCAATTCATTACAATGTTTAGAAAAACTATGGATCCCATAGCCGGGGTTGGACATACTCCAGGGGAGAAAATTTCAAGCCCCGGCCGAAGTCCGGCTACTTAAAAAAAGGTTATATACATAGTTCAAGAATTTTTAGGGTTTTTTCAAAATGTACTGGTATAAAATATCAATTTTCTTGCATTACTCCGGAACATATGATATGACCACTTGTTTGATAGGTATTTCCATAATGGTACCCACTTTTTAGAAGCGGGAAAAACCCGAATGTTGTATGGTCAGATAATCGGGTAACCGGGTATTTCCCCTACGAAAAAATTAATTTCCCTTAATCAGCTTAAAAATACCCACCTGCGGTAAAAATTCCAAAAAGATCCGAACATAGCCCCCAACACAACTTTTTCCAAAATATATACATATATTTAACATAATGCGAAGAGAGTATCTGATATAGTCTAAACTTAGTACCTGGTAATATTTATATCAGATTCAGGATAAATGGACGCTATTGCTCCTTCCCTTCTGTTGTCTCTTTCACAATGGAAAAACACAGTTTTTATTTATTTCAGCTCATGAAAGAGAAATCGGTTAACACAATAGCTATAGGATAATCCACACCATTGACGTCACTGATAAGTTTTAAGGCACACAACCAATGGAAAGACGGTGTGGAAAAAATGTACTGACCTATATTTGGTGGTAATTGGCACATTTTCTTAAACACACAAAGATACAAAACAAAAAAATAGATCCAAAACTATTTCACATTATGATGAAATACTTCAAGTATTTTTCCAAATTTTGTCTAAAATATTTCCTCTATTCGATGTGTTTATGTTTTGCAGAATGTGTGTTAACTTTCAATTTCGTTGAACAGTTCGATTTGATTGAATGGCAGAGTTAATAAACCAAACAAAAAAATCGTTCCCACATTAAAAAAACCCAAAAATATATTAAGGTCGAAGAACTCGCCAGCGATTGCTAGCTGATTGTCGACCGAGACAGATGTATTCATCTGTTGTTGTTGTTTTTGTTGCAAACCTGGTGCGTACATGTTTCTATTGTTTCTAGCAGATTTGGCATTTGGAAGGCGTGTTTTCTTGGAAAAAAACGGTAGACGTGAATTTGGGCAGGCGAAAATCCGAAAACAGTATGAACTTTGCAGTACGTACATCAATTGCACCAATACAAAAGTACCAAATTGTGATTCAGATATAATCCAAAAAAACACGGCGGATATAAAAAATTACCAAAATGCATGCTGATATACGAATGAATAAATTATTCAGTTAAACAAATAACTGAGGGTCGATATGAAATATCTAATCTTGGAGAGGAAAAAAAAAGTTGAACACCTGTGTTGATTGTGGCATGTCAAATATGTCCTTGGTAAGTTTCTCTCCCTTTTCGGTGGTTAGAATTAATTGATCACTTGACTAAGTCAAATCGATTATGCATTATTGAAATGAGAAAATACCAATATGTTTTTATACCGGACCCCCACAAGGGGGTCAAGGTATTATGTCTTTGTGCATTTGTTTGTAACAGGCAAAAGGATGAGATAACCTCATGGTTCCTTTTGATTATCTGCATAGAATCACATTCTGAGTCGATTTATGCTTGTCCGTTCGTCTGTCTGTCCATGCCCCATTTTTAGCCCCCATCCAAGGACGAACTCTATTGAAATTGGAGATAATCGGTAAAAATTTAAATATAGCTCCCATATATATCTTCGTCCGATTTGCTATTATTGTGCACCAAACGTGTAATATCCGTCCAAATAGT